ATAATATTGCGAAGCTGCTTCTGGACATGGGTTTGAAAGAATACAAACCTACTGAGTGGCGTCTTTTTATTGATAGCTGTAAAAGAAGTTTAAAATGCGTCTTACTGCATAATGGAAATAAATTTGCATCAATTCCAATTGCCCATTCTACAAAACTCAAAGAAGAATATGAAAATGTCAAATTAGTTTTAGAAAAAATCAATTACTCGGAGCATCAATGGTCGATCTGTGTGGATTTAAAAATGGTTAATTTTTTACTTGGTCAACAAAGTGGATACACGAAATACCCTTGCTTCATTTGTATGTGGGACAGTAGAGCAAAGCAACGTCATTGGGAACAAGATGTTTGACCTGAAAGAAATTCTTTAACTGTCGGTAAAGCTGATGTAATAAGAGAGCCGTCGGTGAGCAGAGACAAAATTATACTTCCACCATTGCATATTAAGTTAGGAATGATAAAGCAATTAGTAAAAGCTTTGGACAAGGAAGGAGATTGTTTTGAATATATTTGTAGAAAATTTCCTAAACTTAGTATAGAAAAGTGGAAAGGTGGAACATTTGATATACGGCAATTGATGAAAGACACTGATTTTATTAAAGTTATGACTGTTCCGGAAAGTAAAGCTTGGGAAAGTTTTGTGTTGGTAGTCGAAAATTTCCTAGATAACCATAAAGCACCAAATTATGAAGAAATTGTACAAAATATGCTGACAAACTTTCAGATTCTAGGAGCAAATATGAGTATCAAGTTACACTATCTTCGCAACCATTTGGATATATTTCCAGATAATTTAGGAAATTATAGTGAGGAGCAGGGAGAGCGGTTCCACCAGGATTTAAAAGTAATTTAAGAAAGATATCAGGGTCGATGGGATTGTCACATGATGGCCGATTATTGCTGGTCTTTAAAAAGAGATTGTCCTCTGAAAAATTATAAAAGAAAAGCTCTTAAAAGGCGTTTCATGGAAATATAACATGTTTTCGAAATTTCCCTCTTAATTTACTTCAGAGTACCATATTTTTTTTCCAAATAAAACTGAGATTATAAATATATCTGTTATTTTGTTTCTTGTTTTCGATTTTTTGTAAATGAAAATAAATTATTAAAAGAAAACGAGAGCAAATCTTACAAAACCATTGATAATTTCATGAATTGTGAGTATAAATACTCCCAACAACAAAACCACTGTAGACCACTGTAATATGCCCACGCGAATCAAAGATGATTTGGTTTTTGCATATGGGGACGTTTAAGGTCTAATAAACCGAAACCGGTTGTAACAAATAATAAACTTGGTAGAAAGTAGACAAAAGTTATTTTCCTTTATTCTATATTCAATATCAATTTCAATTTCTACAAAAATAAATAGGTCATCAATCGAACAACTTGTATTTGTAACTGAAGTTACTGCAGTTTTGTCCTATAAGGATATTTTAAAATGAATACAATAAAGAATAGATGAAGTTTAATCTTCCAATTTTCATGATGTTCTCCTACCACGTACAGAGTGTCAAGAATAGGAAAACGGGGGAAATTTTTGCGGCCTGCGCATAACAAAGAGCTAGAAAGCATTCGGAGGAACAAAGATGCACATATTTGAGATTATAGTTGTCTCTGCTTAGTGTAGATGTACAGTCTCCTGAATAAACTGTGAAACCAACATACAAAGTCCCCACTATTAGTCCATGTCATTATTGAATTCAAAATAATTTTGGTCGAGACAGGAAATGAGGGGTATAAAGATAACTTGTTTGATTATGGGATTAGTATTCTTTTGAGTTATAAAATCATGAATAATGGACAGAGAAATGTTTGAAATAAATAAATCAAATGAATAAATAGAAGGTTGCTTTTATTTTACTTTTAAATATGTACATCTTTTATACTTAAATTAAACGCAAAATACGGCGAAAAATTTCTAAGAACGTAAGATTTACAAATAAACCAATACAAAGCAAACAATTATAAAAGGCAAAAAAGCAAGAATTCAAACAAAAAAATGTTTTATCTTAATCTTCGGAGGATGAATCTTCGCTAAGGTCTGAACTGATGTAATTTGGTTCAGTGTCACTATCTTCTTGCAAGTTGATTATCCACTACCATAGAATCTAATGTTGGTTCTTTTTCCATGAAAAACTATTCAAAACTTTGAGCATGCTCGCATTGTTTTTTCCACTCAGTTTCAAAAAATGTACTAAAAAATTCGTCGCATAATCTTTCCACGGTTTTTAAGCTAAAATCTACATTTCTTTGTGCAACATATTGCTTTAAAGACGCCCACACTAACTCTATAGGATTTAAGTCATGGTGGTATGGAGGAATCTTTAGAACGGTATGCCCGTGGTTGCCCATAACTTCATTAATTTTATATCACGGTTTATGAATTTTAATTAAACTATACAAATCAATTTTTAACAATTGTTAACATTTAACATAAAAGGTATATTTTATTGCCTTCGCCTTTCCATCATTTCGATCTTTCTATTACATAAAGTAGGAGACTTATTCACCTGCACATTGTGATAGGGAGCATGTCTATCACTAAGACCCTCTTTGCCATTTTATGTAATTCATAAAGTTCATCTCGTTATGATAATCACCTGACTTCATATTTGATCTTTTCCAATAAGCATTTTTCACAAAACCATTTTCATTGCCCGCATTCACTATTATTAGTTTATGTAAACCTTCACTGGTGTTGTAATTCCAGTTTTTTATGTGGGTATGCGAGTAATGAATATAGATTTCGTCCATGAAAATTATGGGTCGCTTTTCTTCTCGAAATTTTCTCATACTTCGCAAAAATTTGTTCTTTACTGAACCATATCTGGCTTTTCCATTAATAATTTCCGATTATTTTTCGTTTTCCTCCAACGAAATCTCATGTCATGCATAACTTTTGTCAAGCTTTCGTAGAAACCAGCATAATTATTTTCGGATTTAAATTTATGATGTATGCGCCGAAGAGTTGGAACCTTTTTATCAACAGTATAATAATTAATAATAAATCTTCGAAGCAATCCTTCATCAAAACCATCTAAGTTAGTTTTAGCTGCGGCGTTCTTTCTTTTTATATTTGGTGTCAAAAAAGCAGCGACTTCTCCATTCTCAATCGATTACATTTCCTTTGAAATTTTTTGTATACTGCTTACACTCACGCCAGTTGCCATAGCAGTTCTCTCTTGAATTTTTTTAAAGTTCTTATAGGTTTATTTTCTGCCGCTTCTCGTTGTATAAAAAAAATTACAATGGCTATAACTTCCCTCGTTTGACTTGTCAGCAATTTACGATTTAGGTTTGATTTAAACTCCATCCTGGTTAAATTACAATACTCAAATTGTACCTTTTACGCTTTATTTCTGCTCGGACTGTATACTTGGTTAACCCGCGATGCTCACTTCACAACAGACAAATTCGAATGACTGGGCTGTGGGCGTTTCCACTCCTGTCTTCTGCGCACAGATAAGGCGGTCTCAAATTAAAATTTTCAAACTATTTCCTATTCTTGACAAACTATAGTAACGCCAATATATCAAATTCCATTACATTAATCGGTATCTTTTGAAGAATACGAGGAGCGATTGCTGTTGCTAAACAGTCTCGAGAGCAAGATCGAGAAGCTACAAGTGTCTCTAGAAGAGACGGAGAAAGCTCTGACAACCGCCACTGAGACGTTCGAAAGAGAACAGACTGAGTTGCGGAAGAAGGAGAAAGATTTGGGCGTCGAACTTGCCGAGAAAAAACTCCACCTGTCCGAAGCGGAAAAACGCATCCTACTTCTAGAAAAGGATTCTCAAAGAAAAGATGAAATGTATTTGGAGTTGAGCAGGGTGAGTTACTGAATACTTTTGTTGGTGCGAAAATCTGGGAAACCCACGTTGGGCGCCGATCTCTTCTAACGTAACGTTCAGTCTAATCATTCTATTTTTTTTGTTCAAGGCGAAAAAAGATTTAGAAAAGGAGATCAGTGTCCACAAACACGATAGCTTCGTCAGACTGGACACGGTCATTCGAGAAAAGAACGAGGAGATCGACCAGCTGAAAGACAAGGTGAGAGCCAGCGAAGATGTTAATTTGTTAAAAAAGCAACTCTCTGAGAAAAACATTGATTTGACCTCACTGCGAGCTGAAAATGAGAACATGTCGCGCAAGCTACAGCAGACGAAAACTAGTTGCGAGACGCTCGAGGAGAAGCTAAGATTAACCAATGAAGATAACGTCAAGCTGAAGAAGGAGCTGAGCAACAACGCTTTACAAATCGAATCTGTCACTGGCGAGATGAACGCTCTGAAGGAGAAGCTGAATAAGAAGCGGAAGGCGATCAGAGATCTCGAGGATGTTGTGCAAAACCAAAAGGCTGTAGTTGCTCAGCTTGAACAGCAGGCAGAGAAGCAGAAAGCCGTTCTACTGGATCGTGAGACGGAAATCGAAATAGGTGAGTGGAATATGTTATAGAGATAGAGAGAGGGTATATTTATTGTATGTATACATTATTGTATACATTATTGTATGAATTAACATCTTATTTGCCAGTTCCCTTGCAGTCATAGGCTGTTGGGGTAGGTTCAAACAATTAGACAAGAAAACTTTTGTTTTCCCACACAAATGATTCATTCTCACAGACTGATTTACACTCAATTGAATATCTACTTAAACTTGAGCAATGCAAGAACATATATAAAATAAAAGAATCAAAAGCAACAACGATCTACTAGTCAACAACCAGTTTTATGAGTATAATACAAGGGGTAGAAATGACTTACACCTGAGCATGGTAAGAACGAACAAAAGATTATACAATCCTTTTACACAGGCTGTAAAAGTCTTTTTTGCTGATTAGGGAGAATAACGACATATTTTATATTTATAATGTCTTAACTATGTTGAACTGTACGCTGTTGTTATAATTTTAATTTAAAAAAATTAAATAAAAAAAAATATCAATATACAAAGTAATCCAGAGTAATTTTTCAATAACAAAACATCTAATAAAAAGGGGAACCGTTAGACTCTGCAACCAATGCGTCCACAGTCCTCTTGTCTATCAAATATTAAATAAATACTAGTCCAGATAACAATGTTAAAGCCTTACAAAAATTTAACTTTAAATATTAAATTGATTTTCAGTTAACGAAGATGCCAAGCATTACCAAAATGAAATCGCACGCTTGGAGGCTGAAATTAAAGAGCTGAAAAACCTTGACGTGACGAAGCTTCAGGAAGCGATCCAAGAGAAAGACCTTAAAATCGATGACCTGAACAAGGAACGTGCTCATATGCTAGAATTGATGAATGAAAAGGAAAAAATTATCAACCAGGTATCTATTTTTTATTTATTTACCCAATAGAAGATGTTTGTAGAGGTTGAATCGAAGATGGGAAGTCTGGTTTGCTTTCAAATAATCGAATTAGATTTTAAAATGTATCTTCCGTTTCGTTCAAAACTTTTTTCTGTACTGAATCACGGGTAACTGAAAATATTCAAATATTTCATCTGTAGTACAAAATTTCGCTAACACTTATAATTCTTAAAATAGGTTTTTTATTTTGATTTTCTTTTGAACATCCTATCAAGGAGGTTACTTACGTATAGCGCCATCTGTCCGCAAATAGCTCAAGCAATAATTGATAGTTAGGTACAGCGACATCTGCCCGCAAATATATCAAACAATAATTGATAGTTCCATACAACGCCATCTGCCCGCGAATAGATCAAGAAATATCAATGAGGTTACGTACAGCGCCATCTGCCCGCGAATAGATCAAGCAATAATGCCGATAATTCTGCCAATACAGATCCCGAGCTTGAGAGTTACAAACATACATACATACATACAGGTGAAGCTAATATAAAGCGTGTAAAAAAGAACACAATATATTGATGACATATTACAGAAATGTTTCAGGAAATAATGCGACTCAGTTCAATTTTGATGGTATTTGTGGGCTGTTAAAGATATCAACCTGTTGATGCATATTCCCATTTCTGAGCATTTGAGTGACAGGAGAGAAAAAACCATAATTTGTAAAGTGGAACAGTATTTTGAATGTAACGGTACTGACTCTGGTCTGTCTGTTGAAATTCAAATTAATTAAAGATAAAATTAACCAAAGATAAAATCTCCCCCTTAAATTGAATAAGTATTCACAGTATACAGGCTGATTCACGGTGGATGGCACATTAGACGTTTCTGGTGAACCAGACAACGAATCACTTTGAAAATTTAATGGAGGGCATATTCGGACATTCTCTAGCCAACTAAAATATTTTCGACAATGCGGTGTTGCCGCTTCTATTAGAAAGCAGTAGCAACTTTGATTTTTCAAATGGAACACTCTGTATATAATATTATTTTTGGAATCTCCAACAATTGCCCGACAACTTTTCTTGATATTTCCCTATACCTATCTGTTACCGTTTTCGAAATAAAAATTAATTTCAATTTTTTTCTTCGAAAATCATGACTTCTAAAAATGCCGATATCTTTTAGTTAAGAAGTACTAGGATATCGAAATTTGGTTTGGAGTTAGGTGATACTTGGACACTTCCCACACGTCAGCCTAATCTCCGTTACTTCAATACAGGGTGGTAAAAAAATACAGTTTTTTCGTTTGCTTGAAAAAGTTGCTGAAATTTGATTATTTTAAATGGAACACCCTGTATATTATTGAAAATTCGGAAAGCTGCTGAAATTTGCTTTCTTTCTATGTATATCATACCTATACCTAACTAGTCAAGTTTCGGACTTATTTGTGAAAATGTCCCTTCAGAATGGTATTTCCATTCGGTATTTGGTAAGCAGGCCATGATTACTATTTGACAGTAGCGTTGTGACATTCTCCTAATAATATCGACATTTTCGTCACTTCAGAAGTTGCAAATACCTTCAAAACGATGGAACAAAACTAATCAAACGAAGTTCTTATGAATTTGTTTATTATTTTTGGACAGTGTGACAAAATTATCAGCAGAACATGTAGAAAGTTCAATGAAATGTATCCGAATCTACCGCCAATGAACCTCAAGAAATTTATACGAATTCAGAACAATTTCAATGCATTTGGATCAACTTTAAAAGCACCAAGAAACTTGCCTCGACCCGTAACTTTCGAAGACAACCAGATTAATGTCTTAGCATATTTTCCGTTGTCTGGTTCACCAGAAACGTCTAATGTGCCATCCACCGTGAATCAGCCTGTATTACAGTTCAAAAAACCAAAAAACGTACAAAACTTTTAAAACAACCAATAGTAAGTTTTGAGTTCTATTGATAAGTGCTGAATGAGTTCTGTACTAGTCTCTCTCTCAAAAATGGAAAACGCCTCGCTCTCATATCAGAAATGAGATTCAAATCCATGGTGAGTAACTCTCCATGTTACTATAGAACCAAAAAAAACATGTTTCATGAACTTTCATTTCGAAATTTATAAAAAATCACCCTCTTTGAAATGCTCCCCAAGCATAGGAAATACCCGGTTCACCCTGCAAACATCTTTGTTTTTTCCCAGATGGCAGAAGACAGTCACCAGCTGCACGTGAATCTGGTGACGATCAAGAGCAAGCTGAAAGAGCCTGGCAACATCATCGACATCGGAAACAAGCTGAAGGAGGAACAGAAGCGGTCTGCAGAGCTCGCCCAGGAGATCCACGAACTGAAGGCGCGGCTGATGCGATACAAAAGCAACGACATGGCCAGCTCCGTCGATGAGATCACGGACCAATTGAGACGTGAACTTGACTACTCTGCACAAATCGACTCCAACATCATTTCGGCCGTCAGCGATCAGAGCATCAACTCGATTTCGGACTCGCAGGACGTGGAGGTATACAAGAAGATGGTGTCAGCTGAGAGGGCCTCCAACAGGCAAATTTCCAAGCAGGTGAGTTGATGTCATCAATCATGGCATATTGCTAATGAAACTTACTCATCATAGATTCAGAGGTTCATGCAATAATTGATTTCAATGGTAGTTTAGGTAGTTTATGGGGACAGTATATAAAAAAAAAAATTTGTGGGGTCACAAGGTTTTGTACTTGTCCCATCTCTTGTTATACATTAATATAGTTCCTCCTTGGCAAGTAGTTTCATTCAACTAATTAACTAATTATTTTCAATTAATAAGTTTCAACATGTAGATATTTTCAGATGTTCTCCTAACACTTTTGATGATAATAACGATTCATTTTCCCAATTAACATACAAAGTTTATTCCAATAATAAGGTGAATGTTCTATGTACATTCCATTAGCGATTTGTTTTATTTTTATGTTGGTGGAAGAGCCAAAACCAAAAATGTTTTGCTCACTCTTTTTTTTTTCGGTAATCGAGACGTAGTGCATCAAGAGTTCTTGTCACATCGTTATACAGTCAATAAGGAGTATTAGCTTGAAGTTATACGTCACTTGCGAGAAGTAATATGAAGAAAACGTCCGATATTGTGGAAAAACAATTAAAAGATTTTGCATCACGATAATGCACCTGTTCATTCGTCATTGCTTGTCCCTAATTTTTTTGACCAAACACAACACCGTAATTATGTGCTTCAGACCCTGTATTCACCAGATTTGGTCCTTTGCATCTTTTTTCTGTTCTCTAGAAGGACGTCGTTTTGCGACGATTGAGAAGATAAAAACTGAATCGCTGAGAGAGCTCAAGAACATAGTAGTAGTAGTAGTAGTATATATTTGGTGCTAATACAAAGTTTACACAGGTCATAACAGATATTGCTTATCTAGAAATACAAAATATAAAATATTCAGATAACTTGAATGGTTAAATGGACAATTACTATAGATATACATACATTTGTGCAAATAAAACAAACTAACTATGAAATAGAAATATAAAACAAGTTAAAATATATATGATTAAGTGGTATTACATGCCTCGAAAACCATCACTAAAATATTCATCTAAGGAATAAAAAGCTTTTTTAATTAAAAAATTTTTGATTCTGTATTTGAACTCCTTCAAAGGTAGATTTTTGATATTTTGGGGAAACGAATTATACATTTTTGGAGCATAATAATTTACGCCAGTTCTGGTTCTGTTGACTCTATGGTTCTGGAGATACAGATTTGAATTATTTCGAGTGTTATAACTGTGGATTGCATCATGTGTAGTATAATCTCTTATATGTTTTTTAACATGTAGCAGGCATTGCAATATATATAATGATGGAAGTGTAAGTATTTTATTATTTATGAAGCTACTTCTACAGTCTTGCCTGTAAGAAAGGTTATCAAGAATCCTAATTGCTCTTCTCTGGATGCCAAATAAATCTGATGCATTGGGCACATGGCCCCAGACAAGTACTGAATACGATATGTGAGATTGAATAATCCCATGGAAAGCTGTTTTCAGAACTGGTTTTGATACCGCTTTTTGTAAGTTTCTCAGGAGATAAGTATTTTTGGATATTTTGACTATAAGTCTATCAATATTTACATTCCAAGTCAATTTGGGGTCAATGTATACGCCTAGAAACCTAACATATTCAGGGTTACTGATATCTGGCACTTCGCGCAACGAAAAAATGACTGTTTGGCTCTTATTTTCATTAAGTTTAAGATTATTTACGGCAAACCACTCACTGACATTTGTCAGAGTATCCTCGAATGTGGTACGCAAAGTATCAATATTATTTCCAGAAATTGATACAGTTGTATCATCAGCAAACAACACGAAGTTAGCACTTGTGTCACTAAATCTTATATCATTTAAGTAAATCAAGAAAAGGATCGGTCCCAATATCGACCCCTGGGGAACTCCATACTCAATAGGAAGTAAGGTAGTAAATTTGCCATTCAAGTAAACAGCTTGCTGTCTGTCGTCCAGATAGGACTTCATCAGTTTAAGACCGTCTCTAGATAATTTATAATATTGAAGTTTTGAGAGCAAAACTTTAGGGCAAACACAATCGAACGCCTTACTTAAGTCACAAAAAAATGACATTGTGAATCCGCCGGATTCAAAACTATCAGTTATAGTCTCAACAAGTGAATTTATAGCCATTGTTGTTGAGTGTTGGGATCGAAAACCGAACTGTACAGTAAATAAATTATGTTGTTCAAAGTGATTAGTTAAAGGTATTTTCAGCAGTATTTCGAACAACAAGTGTATATCAGAACTGCTTTGAGAATTGTAAAAAACGCTGGCACAAGTATATTATATCTGAGGGGGCTTACTTTGAAATGGACAAAACAGAAATTGAAGGAGAAATAAATATTTTTCAGGAATGATGAGAATTCACCCTATTTTTTGAACAGACCTCGTACATTCATAACTGTAACATAAATAAGTAGGAACAAAGTACAAAATAAGGGAAAATAGAAGTGAACCTGAAAAAAAAAATATGATTGAATTTTAAGAGTCTAATGATAATTTAAACAAAAAAGATTATCGACATTGTACACATAAATACGTTTATGAGAGAATAAGAGTATGTATAGATAGATATCTTTATGTACTTCACAGAGTATTTGTAGTTCTACATGAATACAGTGGCAGAATACGTTTGTAAAAGTATGTCAACAAAATGTAAAATCTTAAATCTACATACACTTCAGGAAATATGGACTGCCAAAAATCACAAAAGGAGCTTGAAAAAAAAACAAATTATAGTAATAAATGCTAAAGAAACTAAAATACATCACACTTTTTTAGATACATCATACACTGACTAAAATTTTTGACTAAAGAAATTTGATTCAAATGGAACTTTTGCAATTTTACACATTTTGAAAAAATTACTGAATACTGTAGGGCTCCTGATCGAGAAGAAATTCTTTCAAAGACCTCAGAAACCTGCCTACAACCTCAATGTTGCTTATATTTTGGGGTATTCTGTTATAGAATTTCATCGCTTGGTAGATGGTGCTACGCTCATACAATGTCTTAGTGTTAATGAGATACGCAAAATCATTTTTATGTCTTGTTTCATAAAAGTGGGTTTTACGGTATTTCTCGATAAGATACATACTGCTAGTGCAGTGAACAACTTATTTGACCTAAAAATTCCCCTACAGAAATCTCTAGAGTTATGATTGAAAAGTACTCGTACCACTCTTCTTTGACACAGAAAAACTCTACATAATTCATTACTTGAACCCCAAACTGTTATTCCTAGCCTCATGATTGAGTAGAAATTTGCATAACATACAGTTAATAATACTTCGAGATCAACATATTTTTTAAGTACTCTTATCCCATACATTATTGAAGACAATCTACTGCATATATTGTCTATTCGAATTTTCCAACTCAAAGTATCATCAATAGTAATTCCCAGAAACTTTACTGAAGTATTGCAAATAAATTTTTCACTAGCAAGTGTTACATGATGTGGCGTTTCCAAACTGTTGTTGGTTTTAAATATGAGACAGTCAGTTTTTCCTTCATTTAGAATTAGCTTGTTCTCAAGAAAATATTCTTTGCATTTTTTTATTGTCACATCCATTCTTGATTATATCTGGTAAAGTGGCACCAGTTAGCAGGAGCTGATGTCATTGATAAAAATAATGAATAGTATTGGGCCCAGAATGCTACCCTGCAGGACTCCTATCGATGTAGTCAAGGCCTTTGATCTAACTATTTTGTTTTTCTGGTTGAGTTGTACTGCTTTCTGTTTTTCAGATATGAGTTGAACCAGTTATTATAAGTGTTACCTCGTATATTGTATTTGAAAAGTTTGCGAAGCAAAATATTGTGATCTATACAATCGAAAGCCTTGGATAAATCTAGAAAAATTCCGCAGGCCAGATCTCCCCTTTCCATTGATTCTATGATTTCATTGTTAAAATAAATCAGAACTGTTTCGATAGACTTATTTTTCAGATATCCATGTTGGTGATTGGAAAACATGTTGAACTTTGTAAAAAAGGAAACTAGTCGTTTAGCCATGGCTAATTCAAAAAATTTTGATACACAAGTCAGCAAATTAATAGGTCTAAAGTAAGAAGGTTCCGACTTATTTCCTTTTTTATGAAGTGGTTTTACTAGAGCTACCTTGAGTTCATAGGGAAAAACGCCCTCCTCAAAAGAACTATTAGTTAAATGGGTTGAAACTGTTACAATTTGTTGTGCACATTTTTTTAGTATATGGATTGGTACTTCGTCAATACCCGTGCTTTTCTTATTCTTCATATTATTTATTATTGAGAGCAGCTCACATTCTGATATAGGGTTCAAGAAAAAGGTGTGGCTGTGAAAATCTATTGCCTTTTTAAATCCACTTACCTTACCTATATTTTTCTGTCTTATTAAGAGTTCCTGGGCCGCATTTATAAAGTATTCATTAAAGCAAATTGCAGCCTCATGCGGATTATCAAGTTCAAACTGTTTATTTTGAGATGAACCTGTCACTTCGTTGATAACCTGCCAAATTGCTTTGGATTTATTGTCTGACCTAGCTATTTTTCTTACATTTTCCAAAAGGTTATTGTATTTTTTTTTTCTTGTTGTATATTGCTTTATAGTTTGGGTCAGTTTTAGAGATGGATTGGTAAAAAATCAATTAATTTTTTCTTTGTGTGCTTTCTGGGCAGTTGAAAAGTCTTTTATATGATTTCAGTTGTTTTTCTGTTTTTAGAAAGTGCAAGTCAAAATAAAAACCGAAAGTTGAACAAAATTGTGAAAAAGCATCATTTAAATTTCTCGCGGTGTAACCAGCTAACTAGTTTTCACACTCAAGTTGTATACAAAAATCACTTAGTGATTTAGGATTATAATGACGACGTATTATTTTGTTGGTCGATTGGGTTTTTTCTTCTTAACAAGTAACACTTGCCCGATGGTCCGATGTACCTGTTTCAATCACTTTTCCCTTTTTATCTCCTTCAAAGTTTGTGATAATATTGTCAAAACAAGTTCTGGACTGGGGAGTGACCATAGTTGGTTCAGTTATTGTTAAAAAAAAGTTGTAAGTAGCTAACATATTTCTGAAGTCCTTGCAAGCCCTACCTTCAAGATAAGCCGTGCCTATGTTAAAATCTCCCGCAATAAAATTTAAATGTTTTTTTTTCGTATAAAATGTCTAACATGTATTGAAATTTGTTTAAAAACAGTAGAGGGGGTCTTATAGATACAAACTATATTCATATTTGTCCTATCTATCTCGCAGAAAGTGCTGAAACATTCAAAGGCGTAGTCCTCAGCTAAGGTATCAATTTCATGAATTGGACTGCTGACGATCTCCTTTGAAATATATATCGCTGAGCCTCCATGTTTATTTTCTGGTCTACAATGGCTCGAAACTAAGTTGTGTTCTTTGAATGAGTGAAGTTTAAGACCAAGTTGTGTTTGCCAGTGCTCAGTGATGCATACTATTCGGCATTTCAGGTCTTCAACTATTTTTTGCACCATGTTGATGCTATTTCCCAGGGATTGGACATTTTGGTGTGATAATATGGTTTTCATTCTCGTTGATTTTGTAGCTGGTTGATTTATATTTTCTTTATACCAATATCTATTTTGATAAGTAGAATTTGGAATCTCTGATGTAAAATGAATCTAGTGAAAACACTTTTCTCACCAGAACGAAACTGCTGCTTCTCGACCCGCGTTTTGCTACCCAATTTAACATCATCAGGAGATGACTAAAAGGAAAAAGTGTTTTCAATTGACCAATATGTTTGTTATGGTTGATTTATGTATGATGTGGTGATAATTTTTCTTATTACTAACACAATTTAAACTGACGAATTTTTTGTTCTGTATTCAGACGCTATTTGTTTTCACATTGTATATTTCTATCTTTTATATTGTAATTTTATTGGCTCTGTCAGCAAGATGATTTTAAAACAAATTATATTTTTATTTATTAAGGTCGACAAGCTGCAGCAGGAAGTGGCAGAGCTGCGATATCACCTCCAAAAGGAGCGCGAAGCCTTGGCACGAACTCAAGCTGACGACGCCAAGTTCATAGAACAATTGACGCTTCAACTGGACATCGTCCTCGACAGAGAGGAAGCTCTGAAGAGCGTCCTAGACGAGAAGAAGATCGAACTGGACCGACTTGAGAAAGAGGTCGACTCGATGAAGAACAAGCAGGTCAACAGTTCAGAATCGACGGAGTACAAACCGCCTCCTTCCAAAGAGGTGCTTGAGCTGAGCCTGTTGCGTAAGGATTCGGAGGACCTGCTCAAGGAAAAAGAAGCGCTTTGCGGAGAACTTGAATCTTTGAAACGTTCCAAATTGGAAATTGACGCCGCGTTCAGGTATACCAAAGAATTGTTGACGTTGGAGGTGCAGAAAGCGAAGAACTTTGAGGATGAAGTTCGGAAATTGATGAACGTCGAGAAACGGTTGAGGGATACTTTGAAGCAGAAGGAACTCGAAGTGGAAAAGTTGAAGGTAAGACGTCGTTTCATCTGTATGATAATGAAAGATGAATTATATTTTTTACGAATATAATGAGAAAATTCATCAAATCTCATTTACTGATATATTTTCATATTCCACAATCTGAAAAAAAAACTGAATTGTAATTGAGAACTTTATATATGTGTAGAAAGGGCAAACTTTTTAGTCATCCCAATAAGTTGCTGCATAAATTCAAAATAGTTTTTCATAAAGAAAAATGTTTTATCCATCAGTAACTTGTCGTATTTACTGATTTTGCTGGACAATAATCATAGTTTAAAAAAACTAAAAAATGCGCTTTTAAAGAACATTGAACTAAAAATTTAAAAATATTGCTTTTTTTTTAATAGGCTCAAAACACTAACGAACGAAAAATAATAGTAATATTGTGAAAAAAACTGGGCGCTGGATATACAAAAAATATGGCACAAAGCGCCCACGCTTTTGTCACAATAATACTAGTATTTTTTGATAATTATTGTTTTAAGTTTATTCAAAAAAATTATATTTTCAACTTTTCAGTTCGATGTTCTTCAAAACCGTGTTTTTTTAGTTTTTTCAAACTAAATTTTTTATTTTGATTTTCTTTTGAGCAACCTATCAAGTAGATTACGTACAGCGACATCTACCCGCGAATAGATCAAAAAATGTCAAGCAGGTTACGTTCAGCGCCATCTGCCCGGGAATTAGTCAAGCAATAATGCCGATAATTCTGTCAGTACAGATCCCGAACTTGAGAGTTACAAACAAACATACATACATACAGGTGAAGCTAATATAAAGCTTGTAAAAAAAGAGCTGAGAAATTATACACACACTTATTTTAACGTTTATGAGGCTTAAATCTGTCTCCGCCTTCAGAATTGGACAACATTCAAAAATGATACTTGATTTTCGTCAGGAGGAACATTCCCCATTATCCCAATGAAAGGGCCAAGGAGAGCCAAGACCAAAATAACGCCAAGTTCGATCAAATGTTGAGGTTTTGCTCACTGTTTTCTTAGATTGCCGTATTACCGTGTCATAGTACATCGGAAGTTCTTATCACATGGTCATACGGAGTATTATCTTGAAGTTATGCGCTGTTTGTGAGAAGCAGTACGAAGAAAAAGTTTGGTATTGTGGAAAAACAATTCATGGCATTTGCATCACGATAATGCACCTGCTCACCCGTTATTGCTTGTTTATACCGTGGACCATTATTATTTTTTATATATTTTTNAAGAGCCATATTTTTTTTAGTTTTGCTTATATGCGCACTCAGTATTTTTGACCATTTAATAAATTTTGTTGTAAGTTACATTCGTTTAATAATCACCCTTCAACTTTTTTTTCCCTAAAGCGATCTAAAAAAAAATTATTGCCATTTTTAAAAATATCCCTAGACTCTTCCGATGTGTGTATTTTCAAACTTATACAATATATATTTATTTCATTTCTCTTTTCTTCATTATGATTTTCTACCACATTGTAACGGCTACATCCATGAATTTATTGAAATAAATATTTTTTGAGACAAATGAAAACTCTCCTTATTTTTTTAACAGACCTCGTATACCACGTTTACATAGTATGCTGCACAGTACATAATACATTGCACAGTACACTGTTTTGATAACCCTGAAGAGGCATAAACCTATAGCAGGGCCCCACACAAAACACATTCACAATAGTTTGTAATTATTCTTAAAAGCTGATAAACATTTTTGACTTGACACTGTTTTGAAATATGAAATATCAGGTGATTTTATTATTTTATTTGAATAGATCTGCCACATCTTCCCCGCTTTGGGTATGTAACAGTTCCTCTAATTTCAGGATGAATTGGACAAAGATAGAAGCAACTTCTTCAAACAGAAACAAGAGTTGGTGGAAAGAGTGAAAGCTCAACCCGCAACGAAGCTGCAGGAAAATGTTCTCACGAGCACTGTACCTGACTGTCTGCTGGAAAAAATCAAAGAATTAAACGCTGCCCTCTTAGATAATAGAAAGCTGATGGAAATCATCCAAAGAGTCACCTACGAGAAAAGACTTGCTGAAAATGAACTCGCAAACTTGAAATCTGGCTCCACAAACAATCTGCCGTTCAATGATTTGGTCGCCAGGGTGAGAATATTATTGTTTCTATTATAAAAACAACTCTCGATAATTTTTTTTAGAGCGACTTTTTGTTTGCGAAAACATTGAAATTGGAAAGTACCAAGAAGGCTTTAATATGGCAGAAGCGATACCTCATGGAGCACCTGCAGGGTCACCATCAGCATTGTTCGAGGCAGGCCTCATCTAACCCTTTCCTGAACAGACAAGAGGTTGTGATTCGTCGGACACCCAAAAAACGTTTCCAGTAAGAAAACGAACTTTGATATTAAGTGAAAATGAAAGAATTCCCGCTGAATTTTATACCCTGTTCATATTCGTTTCAGATTGGCAGTTCTAGTAATAGTCTCCATAGTTAGAATGAAGTACCTCGTACAAAGGTGGCACTCTGGTATTAGGATAGCAGAGAAAGTGAACGCGCGTCATTACAGGAGCTCCGGTACTGTGAAACGGGAACCTGTGATATCGACCAGGTTTCAAGTAGGACAGCCTGTTTCCAGTCAACAGTTTGCAAACGTTCCTGCAAGAAATGTCATCAATCATTTCCGGAATGATGATGAAGGGGAGTTTGAGGAACGTGAGGAAAACCATGAAAGGATCCCATGCTTAGAAGAACCGGATGTGAACAATTCATGGTCCGGAAAAACTCCGCCGTCTAGAGAAAAAAAATCTAGGATTTGCATTGGGTACGTGGGTAAATCATATTCATGTGGATTTAAATGAGTATCGTAATTAAAATCGCAGTTTTTGCTATTTATTCTCATGGGTTTTTATTGATCTTTACAGATCAAACATCGTGAGCAAGGAAGATTTGACTCCTTTGAAGGCGCCCCAATTGATAGCTCACTTTGTGGATCGTTTTGACCAGATACAAGAAAGACTGGGGGTTGTTTTGGAAGCCAAACAATCGCAAAGTAGTTGTTAAGTCATGCCTAGCGTAGTTTGTAAAGACTGTAAATAAGCATTTTCAAGTTCAGAATTGTTTATAATATAATTTTCCCTGTTGTTCAGCAGTTTAAATTAGAATTTTCAGTTTATTAACATGTTACTGCTCAAAAATATAGAATAAAAACGTTTTTTTGTGATTACATTTTTCTTAGAATTCAGTTTCGCATTTTACTCAATAGATAGGGAAACACTTGTTATGCAGTTCATTATACACATTGTCATCTGATTTTATTTCTATTTAGAAATGTATCGATATCTACTGTTTTTATAAAATAGGAAATGTGTTACCGTATTTTTTGTATCACAGAAATAAAGGTTTTGTTTTTTGTAATATTTCACTGCGAGTTACTGACAAGTGACTCCCTAAATCAATAAAAAGACCATACCTGACTAGGGCAATAACACCACCCCTTACAAAGAGGGATGGCGAATATCAACGATTAACGGAGCTCCTCAAAGCTGTCAGTTCAAAGCTGAGCTTGACTTCCTAAGGAAGCTTTGTTTATATTCAATAATCGAGAATAGAGTTTTCTGTCGAACCCAATGATAGACGTCATCTTCCTTGTATACTCGGGTTTGTTTTTTAAGAGGAGTCCAGCAATGCATTTGTGGTTAACTCGAGCACCACTGATGAGACTATGGCGGGTCAAAACAGCGTTGTCTGGTGTCGGAACACAAATACGTTGTGTTTAGGTTCTATTTGTTGAAAGGAACACAGAATACTGTTCAAATGATGTTGCAGTAAAAAGTAAGAACGCCACGTTGTAAACCAGAGATGGCACTGCGATGACAAGAAAGTAAGAACATTTAATGATCAACTTAGGATGTCACTCTATAGATGGTACTACAGTGTTCATATGACATTGAAAGCTTTGGCTATCGTTCAAACGATAGCGCTGCAACGCTAACAGAAAGTTAAAATATCTAGAGACAGACACCCTTCTGGGCAGATCGTCTGAAGACAATTGATTTTGACAAGTTACTCTATAACAAATAAGTTTTTGCAGTGTCTACAAACCGAATGCAGTTCTATATGTAATGTAATTGCAGTTTTAGGAATTTAAGCAGCGTCCTTGTACACAATAAGCATATCTATTCTCGGCAAAGATGTATAGGTGGATGCGTTTCCCGCATTGCTTCTCAATAAGAGTAGTTTTCCCACCAATTTTTGCTGGTGATTTGCAAATAATTGAAGTGGCGAATACTCCGGCGACGTGAAAATTAGTTTGCGAGTATCCATTTAATATTCCAATAACAATCTCCAAAAAATCAATAAGTTTGTACCGAAACACCTATTTTATTTTGATGTGATGTAAATTGATATTATTGAATATTGAGTTCTTGTTGCAACACAGTAACTGTATGAATGTTTAACATATACATACCTTTAAGATGCGATTTTCAGTAAATCTCGGATATTGATTGATAATATGATTCGTGGAACAGACGCATAACTAACCGTTTTCACAAAATTCAGTATCAGGAGTACAGAAGTGTGAGGAGGTTTCTGTTCTACACGGACATATGAATGTTCAAAATATACATAACTTTTGAATGTGCTTTTCAGTAAATCTCGGATATTGATATGATTCGTGGAACCGACGCATAAGTAACCGTTTTCAGAAAATTCAGTATCAGGAGTACAGAAGTGTGAGGAGGTTTCTGTTCTACACGGTCATATGAATGTTCGAGATATACATAACTTTTGAATGTGCTTTTCAGTAAATCTCGGTTATTGATATGATTCGTACGCATAACTAACCGTTTTCAGAAAATTCAGTATCAGGAGTACAGAAGTGTGAGGAGGTTTCTGTTCTACATGTTATAATAAGATTCGTGGATCAGACGTTTTACTAACCGTTTGGAGACAATTTGGTATCCGGAATACAGAAGTGTGAGGAGGTATCTGTTCTACATGTTCAACACACACAAAATTTTAAGATGTGCTTTTCAGTAAATCTCGAATATTTATAATAAGATTCGTGGAACAGACGCATAACTAACCGTTTTCACAAAATTCACTATCAGGAGTACAGAAGTGTGAGGAGGTTTCTGTTCTACACGGTCATATGAATGTTCGAAATATACATAACTTTTGAATGTGCTTTTCAGTAAATCTCAGATATTGATATGATTCGTACGCATAACTAATCGTTTTCAGAAAATTCAGTATCAGGAGTACAGAAGTGTGAGGAGGTTTCTGTTCTACACGGTCATATGAATGTTCAACATATACATAACTTCAACATATACATAACATATACATATACATTACTTTTTCAGTAAGTTCTGGATATTGATAATATAATTCACGAAACAGACGCATAATCAACCGTGTGCAGAAAATTCAGTATCAGGAATACAGAAGTGTAGTCACCATTTTAATAAAATGGACAAAAAAATAAAACTCCACTTAGATGGCCATGACGTCAAATCTACATGTATTTCCTAATGCTGAACAACTTTATTATATAGCATTTCCCGAGATTTTTGAAAATAAGAGTACTTTACTCCTGTCTCAACATTAAATATTTGAGGGCTCCTCGTATATTACGTGTGTTTTACTGTATTTAGTTGGTGCGTGTTTAGTTTTAGGGGATGCACAAACTTTTATCAAGAATAACTTTTTGTCGAAAAACCCTTAATAAATAAATTTCCCATATGGTGCACACTTTGGAGATGACACTCTATAATGATCAACTTGGGCTGTCACTCAATAGATGGTGCTACAGTTTTCAAAAATATATAATTGAAAACTTTGGCTATCGTTCAATCGATGGCGCTGCACTGCCAACAGAAAAGTTACACTATCTAGAGACCTTTTCTGAGCAGATCGTCTGAAGACGAAAAATCGATTTTAACAAATAAGTTTTTGCAGTGTCTACAGACAGAATGCAGTTCTATTTGTAATGTAATGGCAGTTGTAGGAATTTAAGCAGCGTCCTTGTATACAATAAGCGTCCTGTACACAATACTTTTGAGAATTATAATTTCAAAATACAGTCTCTTCTCGGCAAAGATTTATAGGTGGATGCGTTTCCCGCATTGCTTCTCAATGAGAGAAATTTTCCCACCAATGTTTGCTGGCGATTTGACAATAATTAAAGTGGCCAATACTCCGGCGACGTGAAAGTTATTTTGCGAGTACCTATTCCAATAAGAATCTGCCTGTGCAAAAAAACTTATAGTTTGCTGTGTTATGTGTCATATTTCATTTTGGTTATCAAAACAATTTGAAAATTAATCTGTTTAAAAAAAAATTGTTTTTTCGTTAATCAGCTGTCGCCCTCACCCGAACGACAACTCTCAGAAGTTAGGAAACTTGTGCGAGCTAAAGACTAACGAGGTCTTACCTTTTAACGTCTGTTAACATGAAAATAACTTGAGATTGGCATCTTAAGAGTTATATTCTACTGGTTACATTAATTTTGAAAGTGATTTTTACTGAGAAATAAGATAGGTATATTAGGGCGATGTTAATTTTTTGTACTAATTTGTTCAATCATTTCTAAAATAACATAAAATTAGATTAGTGAAACACAGTTTTCAATAAAATTTTTATTGATTCACATAAAAACAAGTAAACCAGTAATTATCCTTGCTGAAAATTACATAACATATCAGGAACTAAGAAATCTATACTCAATTTGTTGATTTCTTCCCCTTCAAAAAAATGCAGGAAAAATGACCAAAATGGTTTAACACACCAACAAAATGCCAAAGAAGCATTGATAGTGTCAAAAATTTGCAGAAACCACTAACCGAAAGTGGTAAAAAGCGACCATCTTGAAAATTGTTCTAAAAATACTAATAAAGAACTTCCAAGAAATATCCCTACAAATAAAAACAAATAAATCTGTTACATTGTGAAATTTACTTGAAATTTGATTAAAACATTTCGTTTTACTAAACTACATGTTTCATTCTACAAATTCAATCGAAAGCCAAGACCCCTATTTTACCAAAATCTCTCCCAGCACTCAAAAAATGCCTGAGCGATCGATTTCGTGACTTGTCGACCACTGATCGACGTCTGTTTCAATAGGGAGCATTGCCCCACTCTGAGCTAGGTACAAGGTGTCGGCGTTTTCAAGCTGGAAATGGAATCATAGTGAGCGGGCAGGGTCAAAAGGGCATCGGCAGCGCTGCGAGTTTCAGAACAATTTATCGGCTTGGCTCTGTTGGTGTCTACGCAATCGATTGGCATCTTGACAGTTTCCATGTTGTAGGTGAACCCCTTGAAGAAAAAAAACAGATTTCGAATTGTGTTGAAAGTTTCCTTTTGAAATACTAATGAAATTCTAAAAATTCGAGCCGACATTTTCTCCAAACCTAGTATCCTAGTAAAAACAATTTTTACACTATACATTTTATTCAAGATGCGTTTCCGTGTTTCATCAGTTGGACTGGTCTCAAGTATCTGTTTACAGTGAAAACTGTAATTTTTTTATCCAATCTTTCTTAACACTTGTCCCAAACACCAGAAATACAATACTCATCTCAAAGCTCGTTTCACCTACCAATTTGGTGAAACTTCTTCAGGGGATGAAGAAAACTAATTCCTATTGGTCTCTATTTATATCAAACACTTTCACCTTTCGATTAATATCAATGATTTCGGTCAGAAACTTCTAGTGACAGTTCTCACAGATTTCAACAGAGCAGGAATGCTGTTTGGAATGGGACCTTTTATCCTGTTCATAGTTCTCAAGCCACACTTGCCTACTTCCAGACTTTCGAAAGCATCCAAAGAAATAGTGTCGTGTACCAATCTCCGCAATTTCAGACAGTTTTCATTTATTCTATGCCCATTTTCCAAGGCGTGTTGAGCGACTCTAAATTTTTCTGGTCTCCGAATTCTACTGTGTGTTCTTTGAAACGAGTTTCAATGTCTCGCTTAGTCTGGCCATATATGTAAATGAGGTGAATTTTCATAAGTATGATATGTACTTTTTGGTACGTCCTTGAGCTCTCTTATCGATTCGGTTTAAAAACCGATCGTCGCAAAAGGCCGTCCTTTCATGAGTCTCTTCAATCATGAGAACAGAAAAAAGTCGCAGGGGGCCATATCTAGTGAATACGGTGGCTGAGGTATGATTACGATGTTGTTAAAACATTGATGTGTATGAGAAAGTGTTTCCTGTGAGGTATAAATAGAGACCAAATTAAGAGTTAGGAATTATTTTTCTCCATTTCTTGAAGACACCAACTTGGTTGATGAAACGCGTGTTGAGACGAGAATTGTATTTCTGGTGATTGAGAGAAGTACTTTTTTTTATTTATTCTACGCCATAGGTTCCCATTTTTGCCTTCAATTTATGAGCAATTTGAACAGAAAATAATACAATCACCTTTCGAATACTCATTAGACAATCTTTCATGATGAAATCGAATCAGTTTTGGAATGAAATTTCAACCAAAAACAAAATTAAAACGAAATTAAGATATTTCAATAGTTTCTTGCTCTAGTGTCCTCTTCAAAACGGGATTGTTGAAAATATATTGCACCAAACATATTATCTTAGTTATATGAGAATGTTCATAAAGTTCTTTGAATTCGAAACCAGCAGAAAATCAAATCTAGTTCATTCACCTGTAGAGTCAGTTTGATGATTGTATGCAAAGGAACATGAATGTATGGAATTTCTTCCGGTGGAGTTTCTAGAAAGTACCCCAAAACGCAACGCAACACTGCCTGATGGGAAACGGTCAGCACGTTTGTCTCGCACTCAAGTTGCGTGAGCACCGGGACTAGACGGTTCATCACGTCGATGTAGGACTCTCCCTGAGGATAGCGGTACTTGAGCTTTTCTCGGTCGCGCAGAGCCAGCTCTTTCGGAAAGTGTTCCTGCAGTTCTTCATACGAGAGGCTTTCGCAATCCCCCTGAACAAGAAAAATTGCACTGAGGATCAATGACATCAACTAATAGATTTGGCAATATTTATTGCTTTCTACTATTCCAAATTTCATATTATAATAAACAGTTTATCTAATTGAATGAGTATGAATTGAAAAAGTAATATTTTTAGGAGAGATTAATTTTTGGGAAAGAAACATTTTGGTTTTCTACTTCTCCATCTTCATACAAAAAAATGTGGAAATCTTCCGAAGAAGGAAAGGGCTTACGCTCGAGAAAGCTATTTTATGCAAAACGAGTGTCCCGGTTTTTGAAAAACCCTTAATAGTGAAAATCATGCAATATAGTGTATTAGTTTCAAAAAAGTCGTTCGCAGATTTAATCAATAAATTTCTCTGAGATATTTTTCAGTAAAGTATCTTCATTAATGAAATATAGATATAAAATTGAGAAAGTAATATTACAAAAACTACAAAACAACATTTACTGAGTAGCAAAACATTCTTGTATTGGAATATTAATCAATCATTTATTGACCCTAAAAAGCATAAATGTTTATAACAGGTACGTTAATTGATTTCATAAAACTGAATATTTATTTCCAGCCAGACAATGAAATTGTGTGGGAAGTGTCAATACAAAAAACAAATTAAATAAGAAAATAAAAAGGGAAGACAGGCTCATACTCTAAAACTAATATGAATATGAGTTATTCAAAGAATTCCTGTAAATCATAAAGGCATTTTTCTAATAAATAATTCTTTAATGATTTTTTGAACACAGAGAAACTATTCAAGGCCTTCAAATGATCTAGAAGGTAAATATATATCTTTGGACCAATGCACTCTGGTCCACATGACGTTACTTTGAATCTCCAATGGGCAAATGAAAATGATTCTTGGTTCCAGTATCATGTAGATAAAGTTTCAGATTTGTTGTAAAAGTTAATTTAGTTTTGAACACATACATACACAGTTCAAGAATATAAACTGTTGTTAAAGCTAGATCAACGTACTGTTTAAAAAGTGCCTTGCATGATTCTCTGTTTCAACAATTTGGTATGCACCTCAGAATTCCTTTTTGTGCTCTAAAAACATTTTGTGCTGTGGAAGATCTACCCCAGATACAGACACGGTACCTAAGTCTAGATTCTACTTGAGCATAATATATATTGAGCAACTGACTCTTTGTTAAAACTGTTCGTAAGTTGATAAAGGAATACTTCAATGAATTAAGTTTTGAAATTAATTGTTTACAGTGGGCTTTTCAGTTGAGAAACTCATCTAGAATGATTCCCAAGACTCTTGCTATATGGTCAGTATTTGTTAGGGTCACATTGTTCACCATGAAATATATGCTTTCCACTCTGTTTTACCAATTGTGAATATCAACAGGAAATCTGTTTTATACCTCAAATATACACACATTGGAAAAGTCTAGGGATATTTTTATAACATACTAAATATCATAAAAATAAATGCATGAGGTCGTTTAATTTAATTTTTAAAAATATCCCTAGACTTTTCCGATGTGTGTATTTTCTACACTTATGAAGGGCAATAATTATAATTATAATCAATATGTTTCGTCCAGTTCAATTTATCATCAATATTTAATGTTGCCAACTTTGTCCATCTGATTATTATTGACATGAATGATTATTCCAGCCATCAATGATTCTTCTATTGTAATAACATGTACTTTGTTTTGTTTACGTTAATTTTGAGTTTACTTTTTTTATTTCTATGAGCTTGTTTTCCTATGACAGTAAAAGAAATAAAAAAAAACATAATAGCTGAGCACATTTCCAAAAGATTCCTAAACATTTTAAATGTTTCATTTGGTTTGTAAGAAATCAGTATTGTGCAAAGTTCGTTATTTAAATTAGTTTTGTAACAAAAGACATCAATTAATTTTGATATATGAGAATTGTGATAAAATCATTTTCCAACAATCAATTAATATATCAGGTGATACTTCATCTATCTTAAATATATCATTTTATTAGATAAAATTTCAGACAAACAAAATATTTCTTTATTGAGTTCTATCCATACAGATGTCTAATATCATATGCTCTATTTTTAAAACATGTTAATTATATTCCAGATTCCAAGGCAAAGAAATTTTCAATAGAGTGGTTGAAGAGGCAAAAAAATAATAGAACAAAATAAAGCACTTGAGATAAAAAAATGTGAAGTGTCAATAATCTTTTTTGATAATAATTGCGAAGATAAAGTGAATCACAGCCAATATTTAGGGGTTTATTCATAAACTGTGATACTTGATCCTTTTTGTAAAACGTGTTTTAATAAAAAAAATCAGTTCCCTTTAAAGGTTTTGAGAATATTGAAATGAAGAAATAAAAATAGAAGAAGCCAAACAACAAATTTCATAAGGTGCTGAAATATCTAGAAATGCCAAACAAAATAGAATTTGCAAACTGAATACAATAAAATTCCTGTATTCTTAATTTCTAGAGTCAGAAAAATAAATCCAGATCAATAGAAAATATGTGCAAGATGAAGTTCAATCAGTCATGATGATATTGTTATAATTCATTTTATTGTTAAGTCAGGGTAGATTTTGAAATGTGATTTGTTACCCCTGATCCAGTTTTCTGTCTTTTCTTTCAGTATTTATGTGGTTTGCTTTGCTAGGTGGACATACGCTGACACAGAAAGAAAAATATAACCAACTTTTTCTTTTCTCAAACTACGAAAACATACCAACACGTTATCAATTTAAAGCTATCGTCAAAAAGAGCTGTAATAGCTCACAATTTTGTTTGTGATGTAGAAGCAGAAATATCTGAAACAGTTTTTCAGAGGAACCTTTACATTCCTGGTTTATTCAACCATTTGAGACCAGCGGGACAACTTTTGAATATTTTCTTATCCAAACAAAACATGAGATTATAGTCGAAGGATGAATGAGTTCCATAACGAATGTTTGTAGTACAAACTGAATAGGAAAAAGTGTATTTTGTATAATTCAATGTTCATATAAAAGTAGTTGTTTCGAGAGGACCTTTTCTTCCAGTTTGTGTCTGAAAGTTACTCCTTTGCATGATCTACAAATTATTCTCTCTCCTAAAAATGTACCCCTTCAATTAAAAATTATTATCATTTTTCTTTGCACTTACCGACCAAATCTCGTCAAGTTCGTGCAGGTGCTGTTGGGGGGCTTGAATATTAGCGCTGGTAGCTTTGGTTCTCTTCAAAGTTGATGTCCAAACTTGAAGACTGGGAAGGTTCAAGGCGTGCACGTGATTGGCTAGCGCTTTTGAGTAAAGTCTACCTCGAGGCGATAATGTGGCGTCGCCACCAATTTTTCCTATGACATTGAACTCGCTTTCCCCATGCTGGAAATGTGAAAATTAACTTCAGGGTTTTACTTATGAAGGAAGAAAATTATGTACCATCCCTTTATAATAATAACAATTCATTTTCCCAAGGAATATACATGTTTAAAGCAGAGAAAAAACAATAATTCAAAACCATAACATAACTTAGTTTGAACAGAGCAACAAAAAAAGGTTAATCAGAACTGAAATTGAGAAAAACATTGATGGTGGATTAAACTTGGAGAGTACAAAAAATGATTCTCAACATTGAAAACATAAATACATACATATACATATATACTTATGAACAGTTTTGAATAAATGAATACTTTTTCAAATTAATTCAGAGTTTCTATTTATAAAAAATTTTCAAAGCATTTGGTAGCTCATTGTAAAACTTGATTCCTTTAGAATAAATCGAATATCGCCCAAAATTAGTTTATGTTTTCATTACTTTTAGATTGCCTGAATATCTTGTCAAATTGCTGTGCTGGTCACTATTTCTTTTGAAAGTCGGGTTTGAATATTTTGCCGAAAACAACACAATTATTATGACTCAGCCACCGTATTCACCAGATTTGGAACCCTTCGATTTTTTCCTGTTTCCAAAATTGAAGAGATCCATGAAAAGACTCCATTTTGCGACGATTGAGGAAATAAAAACCGAATTGCTGAGAGATGCATTATTTTCAGAAGAATTTTATGGAACACAGTATCAAATGCTTCCTTCGGATCTAGTGAAAGAACTCCACATTTTTGTTTCGAATCTGAATCCAGCTGGAATTGGTTTATGGCATCTAATACTGACATTGAACTATAATTCATTATTTGGTCTTTTCTATCAAAATGTCAATTTCCGCATTATTAGGTACCAAACCTGGTAAAAATATGTATTAGCTATTGCTATAGCTATACAATAGCAACTGTAGCTGTACAATTGTAAAGCTACACAATAGAAAATGTAGCTGTACAATTGTATATAGGTTGTTCACGTTAAGAAGAGAATGACATCATTTTTGGTAATTTTGTATATCCAACATAACAACGTTAAAATTCCCACTGAAATGCGTTCAACAGCAATGAAACTAGTAACAACTGATAGTTGCTCAACTGATAGTAAAATTTCACACGTTGCCGAATCGAAAAAAACTCGAAAACTGTCAGTCTTTCTTTTCTTTTCAGAACTAATCATTTCTTTTGATAAGACCTGCGTATATTCAATATGCCTAAAGCATTATCGAAATAGTCTCAACAAATACAAAAACTAAGTTAATAGTAAGTAAGGATGATAGCAATAAAACATATCAACAATACAAAAAATTTGAAAGTTCGAAATAGTGCACATGTTGTCAATGCCGTAACTTGTCATCTCTTCTTAACGTGAACAACCTATAGCTATACAATAGCAACTCTAGCTGTACAATTGTATAGCTACAATAGACAGTACAATAAACTATAGAAATATAATTTCGAAATAGTAGGCACTGAATTCTCAGCAAATTTATTTAATGAATAAAACACATTGTCCATCATTATTATAACCAATTAGCTGAGTGTGTTATTCAAATAGAATATGATAAAATATATCGAGTGGTCCAACGAAAAGTATGCACCTTGCTTTTCTCCTTTTTTTGTAACTTAATTCAAAAATGCTCGGACAGGTCAATTTTGCTTTTGAGGTAAACATATTTTAGATGTATTTTTCTACCTGTGCCTTCAACCCCCTAGCGAGGTCTACCTGAACATGCTTGAAGATACAATTGATCCTCACATAACAGAAATAATTGAAAATGACCAAAATCATAATGATGATCGGCTTTAAATCCAGCAAGATGGAGCACCTCCTCACTATGTTGCTCCGGTAAGAGAGTTTTTAGATGACCGGTTTCCTGGACGGTGGATTGGAAGGAGAGGCCCCATCGAATGGCCTGCCAGGTCACCTGATTTATCGCCTTTAGTCTTTTTCCTTTGGGGACACTTGAAAAATAAATGTTTTGCTACGCAGCCCGAGTCCATAGAAGATCTTCGCCAACGAATTACAGCAGAGTGCAGAAGTATAACACCTGATATGCTACAGAATGTTGGGAATAGATTTGAACAAAATCTGTATTATTGTATGGAAGCAAATGGATCACATTTTCAGCACTTGCTGAAGTAGGATTCTACTAAATCAATTACACATTTCAAAGTACTGGGTTGTAGTTGTTTTTCTTCATAATACCTACATGTTTGAGTGAAATACAACAAATTAGGTATCATTGGAAAGATAATTTTGTGCCCTTTAAAATGATACATCACTCGACCCCACTTTCCATTTAAAATTTTAGGGTTGTGAACTGGAACTTATTTACTATATATTCTTGTTTCTATTAAAATTGAATTATCCTTATATGTCTGTCGTTGAGGAAAATTTTAATTTGAGTTGATGAGCTAATTTATTATTGTCAGTTGTTGCGTAATGAACTAGACTCCGTTGAATTCATAGGAGTTTGTGTTCAAATTATTGTATCAGTTCTAACTAGTTTAAGGGTGATAACCGGTGATGCATGCAGAGACATCACGAGTTGCCTACAATTCGCACACAGGATTGAAAATTATTCGCGATATCGGAATGCGCGTTTTTGTGTTGCAAATTTATAAAAAAGGAATAGGCTCTCGAATTTTCGTTCGCTGAAAGATGATGACCTTGCTAATTTCATGGTAAAGCAAATCAACGACTGATCTCGATTCGCAAAATATATGAACCATTTTGGCTTTATCCAATTCATAAATTGTTGTTGAATGATTTATAGTGGTCGCCACGGTCATTTATAGGTGAGTAGTTCATAAGACTATCTCTTGTTATGATTATTTTCATTGTTTTATGTATGTGAAATATTATCGATGGTCATTTACAGTTGTAGATCGAAAATAGTCTAATCTGTGAAGTCATCATCAAAACAAAGAAAAATTTATTCCCAATAAAGAATCCCAGCCAGTGCAGCAGAAGCCACAGTTTTATTCTAAAAACCCTGAGATTATTTCGTTCCCCAGATTTCAACTCACTCTACTGAAGTAAAGGGTTTGCTGATGCGGTTTAGGCATCGACACATATGCCAAAATCTTGCTCTCTTTCGAACCCGTCACTCCGTGCGCTATGATCCCCCCATCTCCACCGTCCAAGATCTTCACCATCGGGCAGGGCAGCTCCCAAAGGCTTCCCAGGGTCGGAGACTCGTACTGAGCCTTGTAGTGCGCCATCTTATGTGTGAGATCTTTGAGGGCTTCTTCGGTCGCCATTTTCCTGTAATCGACGCTGTACTTGAGGATTTCCTGAAAACGAAACGAGGGGGAATTGTTAGCGACGGACCCGAGACCGAACCTCGAGGCTCACCTTGAAGTTACGCTCCAGAAGGACGGGGTCTTCGCAAACGCACTCGATGAACATCACTCTGAAGCCGAGCTGCGAGTAGACGAGGTCGTAGATCTCCTGCCTCTGCGACCTGGAGACGTTCGGGCCGTCGAGGACGGCGACTTGGTTGCCGGGCCGCTGCAGCCAAGTGGCGGCGTCCTCCAAGGCTTCTCTGAAACTCTGCTGTCGGATCCTCCAGGCCGGGAGGTTGTCCGCCCGGAACATCTCGTGCGAATCGTAGTGCTCCATGTGTTTGCGCCGGTATTCGCTGATGTCGTAAACTGTTTAAAAAAATCTGTTTGCAATCTGTTTTTCCGTTAATCAGCTGTCTAAAAACTATATATACTGAAAACTATACTAAACAGTATATTCGTGATTAACTCTGTGAACTTACTTTGTCGGAGCCATTTTCCAGATATGTCGGCGTGGTCTGCGTTTCGTCTACAACTGCGGTGATGAAGAGACAGTAGAAGTATTTTAGTTGTCCTCACAGCGCATACTAGTATGTTCTTATTAGTAAGTAATGAGAAATTTTTTAGTGAATCTAGTGGCAAATCTGAGGAATCTGACGGATTTTTAGTGAATCTAGTGATGAATCTAGGAATAACTCAGAAATCTAGTGATGAATCTAGGAATAACTCAGAAATCTAGTGATGAATCTAGGAATAACTCAGAAATCTAGTGATGTATCTAGGAATAACTCAGAAATCTAGTGAGAAAATTAGGAAAACGTTTCATCTAACATGTCATGAGGAATTATAGTCGAGTTAACGAAACTCAGAAACAGTTCCGATTTTGATGATTCATTTTTCTCAAATGTTTGTTTTTCTATATCATTTGAAATCAGAAACCTTTAGAAGTAGGGACGAAATTATTCACATTGTTTAAACAACATATTTATTGTAGTTTTAATCGCCCTTCTTTGGGTATTTTCATCTTCCACAATCATAGATTCAACAATAAATGCAATAGAAAATAGTCAATTAACAACCACAATATCTCAACAATTACCGACTCAACGACCACCGCATCTTTCGCAACTATCTGACAAGATAAGACGAATTGGAAACAGATATGATAAAACTTCTTACAAAACACATACAAAACCTAACAAAACGGAAGAAAAAACAAAAAAACATACCATGTTTTTGTGGTAAAAGTTATATTAGTGAAACTTGGAGACCAATAAGAGTGCGCGAGAAAGAACATCGAGATTACATCAGAAATAGACAATCAAAAGAATAAAAATATTCACAACACATTTCAAAATCGGACGGTGAATATCGAGTTGAATGATAGGACAAGACGAGAATAATTGCCAAGAGAATCAGCATATATTCTTATATATATATATTTCGTATTGCCTGACACAAGCACTAAGAGGCCATTGAATGTTCGCATTGCCGAACAAAAGAAACACACACAGCGAGGGGAAACCAGCAAATCAGGAATAGCAGAGCATGTTTGAACCCATCAACATACCTAACATCGAGTGGTCGCAAGCTGAGGTCATCCACAGGGAGGAACATTGGTTTAAGAGGAAATTCAAGGAAGCCACATACATGTTGTCCAGCAACGTATTCAGCCAAGCCAGCGTAGATATACGCAACATATGGAAACCCAAGCGAAAAATGGCCAACTCCCGCCAAACGGTCATCTCCCACTAAGCCGGTGAAACGGAAAAAGGAAAGCGGAGATAAGTGAAAGTACTCGAACGACCTATAAATAGTCATCTCTCGGAGGAATTAGTCCAGTCATCACCCGAAGACGATTGTAGATACTAACAATCGAAACGTCGTGAACTAACGTGACTTGGAATCTCTTCACTTTTTATTTTTATTTTCTTTTTTAATTTCTTTATTTTTATTAATAGTTTTTGGATTGAAGACGTTCACTTCATACTGAGAAATTAAATTAAATTTTATATTTCGGAATGTTTCGGTACTATACGATTATAATTGTGTTAATTATTACCTTTTAAATTACGGCCCTGGAAATTGGGACATTTTTAAACTCGGTTTTTCATATTATTCATTGCCCTTAATATACTTATTTGCTGCATTGTTGCGAAATCATTCAAAATCGTCAATCTCGAGTCTTCGACATTTTCTATCTCTCTGCCAGCGTAAATCCTATTTTTCAATGCCCCCCATAGAAAATAGTCCAAAATAGTAAGATCTGGTAATCTTGCAGACCATCTTATTGTCCCATTGTCCCAAAATAGAAGAACTCCAATTCGAACATTTATTGCACAATTAATTTTTTTGTGTATATAAATTACTTACTTCATTTCAATTTTCATAAGAATTATAGTGTTCGTTGCGGATGTTATTATTGATGCCATTTTTTTTTTCTGCTTATCAAAACACATATAATATATTTTTGTTGTAGAAATGTTTCAGATAATCATAAAAGGTTTTCTTATTCGAAGTTCATTGTAGAAAACGCTCAGAGCAATGGAAAAAATATGAATAGGTACCTAAAAATGAAAAAAAAAACTCTGGAAAAACTCTACGATACATAGGAAGACGTGAAAGTTGCTATTATGTTTTAATTCAACTCAGTCAACCAATTTCCAGAGCCGTAATTTAAAAGGGAATAACTCACACAATTATAATCGAATATTACCGAAACATCCCGAAAAATAAAATTTAATTCAATTTCTCAGTATGAAGTGAACGTCTACGATCCAAAAACTACTACAAAAAATACAGGTCCGTATTTAAAAACTCAAAGATGGGGGTGGCCCGAGTCAGATGACACTCTCTATAAAAGATTCATGGATATATTTTGAAAGCCCACATCAAGTGACAATAGCAAAATGTGGACAGATTTTCAATATTTCTGCAAATAAAGAAGATATAGGCAAAAACATAATTTGGGATTTTTTGGTTTTTCCTGTATATCTTCAGAACCAAAAGAGCTATATTCGATTTCTTCACATCATTGAAAAGGTCTCTAAAATACGCAACTTTGCCATAATTTAACCGACACTCTATCTCTTATCGTTTACGAGATACCCATGTACAGAAACGAATTTCAATAGCCCTGTATAATATCAGACAATGGAAGTCCGAACTAACGAAATTCATGAAAATAGATGTTTCGAAAGAGCTCTTTCTTCCAGTTTGTGTCTCAAAGTTACTTCTTTGTATTATCTACACATCTTTGTTTAGAGGTAAATTTTGAAATCGATTGCTTTCTTCTTTTCTTTGGAAGATTCCCACATTTTTTTTTGTATCAAGATGGAGAAGTAGAAGACCAAAAACTTTCTTTACCAATTATTTTGTGAATATTTTATATCGTTACATGAGACTGTTCTATTGTCATAGAAGCCCCAGGGCTTATCTACTAGGACAACTAGAGCGCTGTTTCCGTTGCCGCAGTCGTAGACGAAACTTCTGGCATAAAACCTGTCAACAAACCCTGAAAATAGCTTCGACACGGTTATCTCCAGCCGTGAAAATTCACACTTTTATATCCCTTTGATCTTACCTCTCGTCTTCTCTCCGGTGTAGTTCAGATACCTGGACAGGCGCCTAGCGAGGAGACTCTTGCCCCTTCCCGGCAGACCGACCATGGCTACCAGAAGGGGGCCGAACTGCCTCAAGGGGGACCGTTTCGCGGCCTGGGCACCTAAACGATAAAAGCCACTTTTCATTTCCATGTTCACACAGAAACTAACATTGTGAAATAAATGCAGATCGAACTCATGAAGTTTCACGACTATTTGCGATAAAGATTATCACCTCTTTTTTTAGGAATGAGTTTGCGAAAGATAAATGTTTTTATTTGTATATAGGTTATTTTGAAAACATTTTTTTAGCTGTTTAACGATGATCAGATAAATATAATTAGGTAACTTGATTTCAAAGTAAAATCCTCAAGTTAATAGAAAAGTTTTTGTATGAAAAATTCGTCTCGCTGATTATGGTGGATGTTTTAAAAAACAATAAATTATGCTCGACAATTGCTATAATCAATTTTTCTCGTTATCTCAAAATAATGGGTCTCACACTTTAATAATTCAAAAAAAAAACGATTTTCGGTTTTAAAATAAAAGCCTAGTTTTGATTTAAATAATTAGTAATACCCTTTACACTAAAAATAAACAAATAAATGAAATAAAACACTTCGTTGAATTCATTTTACGCCAGTGGTTTTAATTTTACTTTTCAGCAAACCAGAGTTGCCAACTGTAGCGGAATTCCGCTACTGTAGTGGAATTTACTCGACGGTAGCGGCGTAGCGGATTTGAACATAAAGTAGCGGAATTTTCTATAATCAATATTGAAAAAAAAATATTGAAGAAGAAGAGGCAGTGGACAGGACTCTCCTTCTTCGTTTCGATTCAATGGCCTCAGCAACTAAGGCTATCCGCAGACAGCACTCCAAGCTGACAGCTAATACTTTATAGTCTCAGTAGTGAGGCCATTACATGATGAATGAGAAGAAGAATATTTTTGAGTATTTTCATTCATATCATAAACCATATAACGTCTCGACTGTGTCTGGAGTATTATCTTAAATGAAACAGATTACAGTGGAAATAGAAGATAGTTCATCTGATTATGACTTGAGCGAAAGAGTTATCGCAGTTGGAATTAACGGGAAGGGACATGTTCAAAAAAATACAAATAGTCTCGAAAACAAACTTTTTCTCAACATTGTTTGTCTGATTCCAACTTGAATGGATGGATTAGACCTATCGCGAATGATTGTTCAAGTGTTCAGTGTGACTATACGTATGTGAACAAATTGATTTATATTTTTACCTTTCAAAATCATTTTTTCAAGCTTTCAAAAATTAACTGCTGTTAACTTAGAGAATTAGGTACCATTTACTGAGTTGCGCGGTTGAAAATTAGCATGATCCCGATTACTTACATTAGTGACAGTTCAGTTTGGTGGTATCTGAACAGTACACAAACTTCAAACTGTAAGTTCTGTGGTATTTAATTTTAGATAGGGCGCATGAGCCAACTGATTGCGTCAGATATACAAGCGTAGCGGAATGTGAAGCAGTGTAGCGGAATTTTGATTCATGTGTAGGGACTTTATAGTTCTGCTAGTTGGCAACACTGCAGCAAACAAATAGTTTCTGGCCACACTCTGACGTAGGGGAAATGGGAAATCCTACGCGGAAAAGAGTGGCAATCGCTGGCGGTTCTCAACAATAGTTGTGATGATTGAAATCCTTCCGGTGGGTAACGTAATCTTACTGGAAGACCATATTTTTTTTCCAAACAATTAAAGTAATCTGCTCAATTTCAAAACACACTTTACTCAAAAAAATTCTTAAGAACTATCAGTAATCAACACAAAATATGTCGAATTTCATACAATTCTGGTTTTTCGCGAAAAAAGACAAACAGAAGATTATATATAGGTACAGGGTCAAATGAATTAGGTAATTTGGACGTTATAATAACGAACGATCCATTACGTAAGTGCGGCTAAGCTACAAATTCATTGTTCGATTGCAGACATGTCGAATGTTATATACAAAGGTTCAAATTAATTTATCCAAGAAACACTTTATTGTAAGATTTTCACTAAACAGTTTTACAAAAACGTAACACTTGTTTCACTATATATTAGATTTTTTTAGGCGTGTTTTCACATGCCCTCAAACGTGCTTTTACACGCCTGATGAAGCTAATGTATAGCGAAACACGTGTTGGGTTTTTGTAAAACTGTTCGAAACACGTGTTGCGTTTTAGTAAAACTGCTAGTGAATTACGTTATTCATCTGTTTACAATTAATCTGATGACCAGTCACCTCCCGAATTGTTATTTTCAGCTATTCATTTTAATTTTATTGAATTTTTTTGAGCACTACAGGAAAATCCTTATATCAGATTAGACAATGGAAGTCCGAGCTAATGAAATTCACAATGAAACACTGTCAAATTGATTTGACCTGTATATTTAATCTTGGACGATGTCGATGTTGTTCATTTTTACGAAACACAAGAAGTGTAGACATTCGTAATTGGTATTTTGGATAGAAAACTGATAGTCTCCCCAAGAGTCTTTGAATTAAAAAATCATGGTCTTCGATTAGGATTATGTTACGCACCGAAAGTTTTTCCATCATCAGAAATATTGTTTGGAAATAAGTCGAGATAGAAAAATAAACTGACTTCCTACGTCAGAAAGTGTGGCCAGGAAACTGTGTCAAACTTCATCATGATTATAATAATTGTTGTTAGTAAAAATTACGATGACTATCTCGTTCTCGTTAATCCATTATATCAATTCATCGCAAATTGTGGAATATTTATTTTGGGGACGTTAAATATGGTTTCTCCATTGTAAAGATAAAAAAATCCAAATTTCAAGATATTTTTGCCAAAACAATGTCAACATCGTTTCCTATCAAGTAACTCGTTGACCTCGTTTTCGTTGGAATACGGAATCAATTATTGAAAAAATATATTATACAATCCCAGATTGAATATTTCTAATAATACTCTGAACCATATGTTTGTTGAGGTTGTTTACGTCTTTTAAACACCATTGACCTCTTAGACTGACTTCGTGCGTATATTATCCTTAATAATAAAGAAAACAGGTTTTTCGAAATTGGTAACATGAATTCGAGGAAATCGCGAAGATAATTTGAATCCTTGGATTGCGAGGTTACATTGTACTTATTGCGAGCTTTCTGGTTAACACTCGGTAAAAATAGATTGTTTTTACTTTCACTTTTGAAAAAGGATCACACATAAATTAGGGTTTACGTAGAAACAGTAACAAAACATGTAAATTTCATTAGCCATGAATATACAGACCGAAATTACTCAAAGTTGAAAAATGTTAAAGGTCGAATTGCGAATAAAATTTTTAATTCAGTTGAGGTAAAGGTAATACCAATGTCTATAAAACTCGTTTGCTGTTTTGGAGTCAAAAAACAGGAACTATTTAGACGTTCTTATCTTGAAAGATTACATTAGGCAGGGGGACCTGCTGACAAGGCAAATCGTTTTTTATTTTCGTAAACAATGTTGATATGGTATATTTCGTCAAACAAGCGATTGAGAAATATATACGAACATGGAATAATTTTGTTGAGTGTTATATAGGCATTCGTAATATATAACATCGCTAAAGTTGATTTGTTAACGCAAAAAACAATAATTTCTCCAATATCAAATCGTGATGCAAGAAATTGATGAATTTACTCAGATATTCCATGCCAAAATTCCTCAGAAACTTTCTTCCGTCATTAAAGTATCCGTCTGTTTTCAAACTGAATATACCAGACCAGTCAAATTTTTACCATCAGATATATACGAGGTCTGTTCAAAAAATAAGGTGTATTTTCTTTTTTCTCAAAAAATATTCATCTGTTCATCAATTTCCATTTTGTCCCCTTCAGATATAATACACTTGTACCAGAGTTATTTATAATCCTCGAAACAGTTCTGATATGCACTTTTTGGTATGTCTTTGAGCTCTCAGCGATTCGGTTTTTATATCCTCAATCGTGGCAAAACGCCGTCTTTTCTTGGGTCACTTCAATCTTGAGAACAGGAAAGAGTTGCAGGTGCCAAATCTGGTAAATACGGTGGTTGAAGCATGATTACGGTTTCTTTGGCCAAAAAATTACATGGAACGAGCCAACCAATATGCCGACATTCTATGCAACTTCTATAATAGTGATTCGTCGATTCTAAATAACAATTTTCTTGGGTTTGCATGTCAGCAAATTGTTCTCAGTAGACACTGCTGTCGTAGTCTTGTAGGAGGACAGAAATTCTTGCAGGTCGGGTCTGTGAGACATGAATCTTGACCAGGTTAATCATTTTCGCCAGAAAAAATTTCGAACCCCCACCCAAATATTTCACAGTTCTCAAAAAATTGGAAATATATTTTGCAGGTCGGCGGAAATTCTTGCAGGTCGGGTGTCCCAGACATAAATCTTGAAGAGGTTGATCATTTTCACTGGAACGTCGTCATTCACATTTTCTCGACCTTCTGTGAAAAGCTTGTACCACTAGACCACTTGTAAATATTTTTCTGGCTCAGAGTACACCATATTTCATTTTTGACACAAAATTTGATGCAAATTCTTTGATCCAGTTTTTATAGCAAAAAAAACACTCACCAACAATCTAAAAATGCTAAACAGCTGAAACTGTGAACAAATGTACCAGACGAGTGTATCAACATGAAAAAATAGCCCGCGAAATTTGAACATTCACCACATTTTTTGAACAGACCTCGTACAGTGTCACCATTAAAGTCGGCAATATACGGGATTTTTTTAATAATTAACTTCTACATAGAATTAGCCTTTTTTCTGTCAGTACCTCTGAAAATTGACAATCCAAAAAATTAAAAATTTCATTTTTTCAGGTAACTTCGAAAGTCATCTGAAAAAGTTGTTTCTTTCACATACCAAGTTTCATCAATCTGGGACAATTTTTTGACGTTATTGATGAATAACCCATTCAAAAAAAAATCAAAGTTTTCAGTACATATTCACTTCTCCGTGAACAGCACGTCATATGAATTAGTTTTTATGTCAAGAAAACTTCAATGGCATATGAAATATCAAGCGAAAGTGTTGCGAACTCGTAATATATTCATCATTTTTAAAAAAATAGCAAAAAGTCGATTTATTTATTATTCAACAAGTAGGAACAACTTCAAATTGAATGTAACTATTATGAATCTCAAGAAACGATATGACTGAAATTTGGTGTCTGTCCAGTTCCAAGAGAACACCCTTCTATTGGAACTGGTCAAAGTAAGGACAAAGCCAGTGACGAGACATTGGGTTCAGGTAGATTACGACCCCCTCTTAAACAATCACACCTTTTTATTCTTATATAAATATTTTAATTAAAATGTTGCAACAAAAATTATTGTATAGAAATAAACAACGTTTTTAGTTTCAACAATTATTTTTGACTAGTAAGCGAATATTTATTTGGGTATTTTTTTCAATCTTATATTAGAAAATGGGACATTTTGCCAATCATGCAACAAGGAAAAGCTGGCAGATATATACATAAACTCATAATCTTTGTAGGTGTTTGAGTTTGAAATGACTTGATGGAAATAACATGATTGGTTTTTAATTTTGTGAGAGTTGACAATTAGCCAAGATGGAAACTTTTGAAATAACTGATCTTTGTTCTATTCGAGAAACTACCTGGCCTATTTTTGAATAAGTGTAACGCACATGCACGAATTTTTGTAAACATGTGAGATTTATACATTTAGAGGATGTAAAATTGACTGTATTTTCATTTTCTCCAATATTGTGATTGTTGCAAATGAATATTGAAGATATTCATCAATACGAGAAATATTTTAGGATTTTTCTTTTATAGTATACTAGCTTTTGAACTAGGTTAATGAGATTCTATTTTTAAATTGTACATACGGGAGTTCAATAATAATTACAATACATTTTTGTGCGAAAATTAAGATGTCAATATTTCAACTCATATTCCTCTGCATGAACTTGGGTTAATCTGTGCTTGGGTATATAAGTACTAATATTCGGAAAAAGTACTGGGTCATAGGTTCAAGGAATATGGAGCCCTATGTTCATTTGCATTATAATAGGTTTACGTATAGGTACATAAGTACGGGGGCAAAGGATTTATGAAATATTTCAACTCTCACCTTTACAGTCTTCCGATGGTTTCTCTGTGGCAAATTGAGTTCTTGCTGCCATTTTAATGAGTCTTTGTCTTTTATTACAGAATTGAAGATAAAACTACAAGAATATTCTGCAAACGGCTTCTGGTTTTCTCAGTTCATACAATTTCATGGAGTATAAAAGTAAGTATTTCTACTGCACAAACTAAATTGCGGTATTTATCTCAATATACTCGACTCCTTCTGAGAAGTGGTCTGATGATGTGTGGATAATGAATTTTTTCAAGATCAGTCTCATTCCAATCCTATATCTTATTTCAGTCGCCAGATTTACTGCCTAGAAATACGTCTTTGAAGGTTTCTCAATGGCAATTTACATTACCACTGAATATCCACCAACCCAAATATTACTGCCTGATGGTTCTTTTTATCAGCCAGCTGATTGTATTTGTTTATTTTCCAGATTTGAGTAAAAATAGACCACAACTAGTAATTATCTTCGAAGAAGCTGGGACACGAAAGAGCACAACACAACACTGTTAAATAACCAAACGTTTACCTAACACTGATATTTTTCAATTTTTGTAATATCTAAAAAAATAAGCACCTCCCACTCCAATTAGAACACAGTTGCCAATGTGACTGCTCAGACCAGCGATTTGTCTTACTCAGAATAGGAAAATTCTATCGATGAGGGCGTTAGTGTGTTCCACAAATGGCGACGTTAAACGGTTAAAGCTAATCTGACAGATGAATATTAAACATATGTTCATGTTTGTTGCTGTGTTTGGGGTTGATACTTTTTTATCTTCATGTACCTATAAATGTATACTCAATGAAGAGATGTTTTAGCATGAATTCCATTATCGCTGCTGGTATGAAAAATCGACTAAAACCAACAAATAATCAAATTCGATAAAAACTCGACTGAGAAATTCCGTTCGGAATGACCGGCCGCACCACTGAGAAAAGAATGTGTTTTGTTGCAATCTTTATTGACATAGTAATTTCATGATTTGATAATGATAATAGTATATTATTCAACGAGTGAAAAATATGGTGATAGTCATGAATCATTAGGGCGGAAATGATCATTTCTCGCAAGTCAAATAGTGTATTCGTTGTATGACTCGTTTCAAGAATATTTTAAAATAAGATTAATTAGCGAAGGATAGCGGCTAGACGAAATTCATTCATAAATAATTTCAATTTTCGCTACTTCAATCAATTTCGAATAGTTTGAAAATTGAGCTGTGATGGGATTTGAACAAACGAATCTTCTAGCTTACAAATCACGTCTTCCAGCGACTACTCTATGAAGCTAGCTCATAAATTAGTGTGACATGAAGTTGTTTGACTTTCAATCCTTTTTCATTATTGTGTAAAAAACATCAATTTCTTCGTTATATTAGGAATTTTTGGTAGGGTATATTTATTATCACGTTCTGAATCCATTTTTTGATTCTTGTTTTTTGTTACAAACTATATATTTCGAAACGAACTGTCAGTTCAATGATTATAAGTATGACGTTTGAGAATACTTTTCAACTGTGATGTAATGAATTGCAACTGTAACTGTTCAGCTGTGAAGCACATAATATATACGTGTCAGTACTGTTAGTGGCATAGAGAAAAACATATTTATTTTATGGTCAGTATTCAGTGAAACGGATCACAGGCAGCGTAGCCATTACAATACTTTCGCACTAAATTCACTGCATTTGAATCGTTAAAATATTTGAGTACGCCGTTTAATACTCTAGTATTTTTTCACCATGTTCATCAGATCAGTCTAACTAGTAAATTAATACTAAACTGATTGCTTATACATTTTGGTGTCAATTGTCTTTGGTGTACACCCGTTGTCACTCAAATATTTGTTATTATTGTTGGAATAAATTTCAAATTGATGAATGAAAAACTGTTACTATAGCGAAGGATGGGTGGACATATGCTGAATATATCAATTAAATATTGATATATTCAGCACTATAGTACTCGTTTACGATCGCCTTCTAGTACCTTTTTTCGAAGTGTTGAAGCAACACAGGTCACAGTAGGTTCATCCAGTTGGCAACACTGTGGCATAGTGTTCTGTGCGGGTAGTGTCACTAGTGTCAGTGTCACACAGATGATTAACTACTTAATCTGTGCTGTATTGGTACCACAGAATATTATTTACTATTCAGATTGTTTATTATTCTGTGGTAGTGTCAATGTCGTCTGAAATCTGAGAAAGGGAGATAGGTTGTTTCAAATTTCAATATTTGAAAATTTCAAGTTTACAAAAATATTGAAAACCATGCATTGTTTATGATGGCCAATAAAAATTTCTATGGAAAACAGCAGCAGACTTTCACAGGAAAATGTGTTCTCATAAATGAAGATAGATTTAAGGTTGAATTAAGTGCTTTCATCCAAGAGGCTATTGACGTCTTCAAGACTATTCCAACTAGATTCTATGGTGAATTCTAGCCTTGATAAAATATATTTCATTTACTAATGGAATTGTTTCTAGATCCGAAATCGCGCATTTGGAACTTTGACGTGAAAAACCATGAGCTGGTTGTTGCAAGACTCAATCACTTGAGGCCCAAATTAACTATAGAACCTTTACCGAAATTCGTCTTGAATTGTCTTCAAATTAGAAGCAATGAAGCTGATATCGATTTTGATAGATTAGATCCTGTATTACTAAATTCGTTAATGCCTTTCCAAGTTGAAGGACTAAGGTAATTTATTTTCATATCACATATTCATCTAAGGACCTTTATCACGTACACTTCGCAGGTTTGGTATCAACAAGAATGGTAGATGCCTAATAGCAGACGACATGGGTCTCGGAAAGACTTTCCAGGCTTTGGCAATAGCAAATTATTACATAGACGAGTGGCCATTGTTGATAATTACGACCTCCAGTATGAAGTAGGTGAGTTATTTTTCACACATTTGGGGTACTGAAGGTAGAATGTTTTCAGGGCTGTCTGGGAAGAAACAATTACTACTCATTTGCCGTCGATATCTATCATGGGAATTCAGTATATGATAACAGGAAAGGACTACATTGGTGATGCGAGGATTTTGATAGTTTCCCATGACATGATGTGGCGTAGTCTAAAAAAATTACAAGAGAGGCATTTTGGAGTAATGATTGTTGACGAATCTCATACCATGAAAAGCTTCAAAAGCAAGTGTTTTCAGTCTGCCGAGACCCTTGCTAAAAGAGCAAAGAGGGTTATCTTGCTAAGTGGCACTCCGGCTCTGTCAAGGCCTAGCGAGCTCTTCACTCAGCTCAGTTTAATAGATAGTAAATTTTTTGGCACATTTTATGACTTTAGCAAACGGTACTGTGACGGTCAGCAAACTGCGTTCGGTTGGAACGCCAGCGGCAAGTCCAACTTGGAAGAGCTGGAGATCATTTTATCAAAAAAATTTATGATCCGTAGGACCAAAGAAGAAGTGATGAAAGCGTTGCCCAATAAAAAGCAAGAGATGATTACTTTAGATACAAATCTAAGTCAATTTTCTGTCGAGGACCGTAGTTGTCTTTTGGGGTTGGCTGAAAAGTATAGAGAACAGAAGGGACCACAAAAGCATAGCGCTCTATTGAAATTCTTTTCCGAAACCGCTGCAATCAAAATTCCTTCCGTGTGGTAAGTTTCAGAGTATAACATGCCATAATGAAGTAATAACGTCATTGAATTTCAGTTCTTACATTTTGCAAACTCTGGAAAGCAAAGTGAAATTTTTGGTCTTTGCCCATCATCAGGTAATGATGGACGCTATAGAAGACATAGTCAAGAAGAAAGACATAAAGTACATCAGGATAGATGGAAACACTACCTCGGATCAGAGAAAGTACTTTATCAACAAATTCCAGCTGGACGATAAATACAAATGTGCCATTTTGTCAATAACAGCTGCTAATGCTGGAATTACTCTCACTGCAGCCCAGATGGTGTTGTTTGCCGAGTTGCATTGGAATCCCAGCGTGAGTAGTCACTGTTAACATAAAATTTATGTAATTTTGTTGGATTCATTAGCACTTTTCTAAAAAATTATTCCATTCATCATTATTATCAGTGACTTAGCTCTTTAACTGTGAATTCTGCAAAGTCTTCCACTCAAGAAGTTGCTGAGGTTCCCTGGGCACATCTGCCACATTGAAACAAAAAAAAATCACGAAGCAGTAACATACTTATGATGCACTGTTTGGAACCTTTGGTGTAGTAATGAATATTACTGGAGTTTTTTCCCAACACCAAATCGTTATTTTCAACACCTCGACACGTGTGTCGATCACCAAGTGATCATCTTCAAAGAGGAAGATTAATCTTCCTCTTTGAAGATGATTGAGGTGATGTTTGTATAAGACTGAGGTTGTTTCAAAGTGTTAGTTTGTGTTCCTTTAATCTGACTGATGTTCGCATATTCGTTTGGCCTACATATTCTCCACAGAAATCTCCACATGCCCTGTTATATAAGCATTGGTTTTGTAGGTTGACTGACTTAGTGTTTTAGTCAGTTGCACCTTTGTGTGTTTGTTATACATTATCATTTTAGAGTTTTCACAAACTTAATTTCTTTCAGATAATAAGCCAAGCCGAAGGCAGAGCCCACAGGATAGGCCAAGAGAATCAAGTAGTTGTGCGATATCTCATCGCCCCTGGTACAGCAGATGATCACATCTGGCCTTTACTTCAAGAAAAACAACGTACGCTCAAAACGGCAGGGCTTTGCAAGGATTCCTTCGACAATGTTACTGTTACGAAACAAGACAATGAAGTTGTGACAGACGGATTAGACGCAAGTGGTAACAGAATCCCTGATACTAGGACATACTACATGCCTACAAAAAAAAGGAAGGTTGAATCTTCAGATGAGATTTTCGATGATGGATTCGATGATATTCTCAGCAAATGTTCTATGGAAGCGGAAGATGCTTTTAATGATGGTTTTGATGAGTTGCTAGGTGAAATTGACATTTGAACGTGTCAAGGGGTTGTCTCATTGTGATATCGACTGTTTTATTTTATGAAGATATTTTTTATTTCAAATTGTGAAAACTCGTTGGTTTTAGAATAAAGACCATTTTTTGTTTTTCCAATCGTCAACTCCTTGCCGATTATGAAAGTATGTTTGAGTGATAGGATAACTAATGAAACAACATTGATACTGTCAAGATTCATGTCAAATTCTTCCCATGTTGACTCAGATAACTTCATACGAGTACCTGCCATCATTTGTTTTTGATGTTTTCATTATGTAATATATCTTTTTTATGTTTTTTAAATTCTGATTTTTTCTTGGATAACATACGGTATCTCCTAGATTATTCCCACGCAATTTGATAGTTTCACCAAGACAACGCACCGTCTCACACCTCGACGGTTGGCATGGCAAAAGTTCACGAATTACGGTTTGAACTGCTTGACCATCCGCCTTACCCACCAGATCTAGACCCAAGTGACTTCTTCTCGTTCCCTCATCTGAAAATTGGACTCGGAGGACAGAGATTTTCGGCAAATGAAGAGCAATTACTTTCGTGAACAATTATTTTTAAAAGAAAAAGAGTTAAAATGAAACTGTTGAAAAATATAAAAAAAAAGAAAAAATGTCGTATGTGTGTTGGGTCGATAACTTTTCAGACCACCCTCATAATACACCAAAAAGCATTTGGGGTTTACGAACATCAACATGCATACTTCAGTGAAACACATTTGAATTTACCACTCAATGCTCTAGAAACTTTTATCGCCCTTATTAACACCTCATTCAGAACTGGCTCATTTCCTTCTTCCCTGAAGACTTCGGTTGAGGTGGTGATTTAGATAATCCCTCCAATCTGCGTCCTATTTCCTTCATACCGACTTTAGCAAAAAATATTGAGAAATTAGTCAAAGTACGTTTATTTTCACATATAGTCAGTGGGCATACTTGAGGCCAGGGGAGTAGTTGTTTTCTGAGAGGTGTCCATTAACCTACTGTGTAGGGAGTTGAGACTGGCCTGAACGAATTGTTCTTAGATAATTTGATTTGTAGCCAGTCTTCAAGTATGCCCACTGACTATATGTGAAAGTTTTCTTTCCTTATATGAGGAATTGGGAAAATTTAGGATATGCAGTTGGCTACCTCGTTCACAGGCAGATGGGGCGACGACAAACCTGTTGTTTGTTGTATGCTTCAGCTTAGTTCGAGGAATGACACTCTGACGGAATTCGATTTTCAATTATCGGAAATCATTGACTTTATGTTGATGATAAGGCCAAAGCAAGGGATCACTGTAGACCACTATTCATCAAGCATCAAATTCTTACGCTTACATGCCTTTTCATTATGGAGACTGTATGCTTGATTCACAACAGACATTTATCGAATGATAACCCATTAAATCCCAGGCACACCAGAAATAACTGCCATATCTCCCTGCCAATACCTAGGTCGACTCAAATTGAAAATTCAATGATATACGAAAGCAAAAAAATTTACAATCATTTGCCTGAACATTTTAAAGCAATACTTTAATTTGTTATTCAAGTATGACTAACTATTATTTTTATTCTTAATATGTATGTAACATATACTACAATTATTGACTTACCATATGTACATTATGTACCGATAATGGTTAATAAAATTATTATTATTATTAAGCAACATTCATTTCAAAAAGGCGGTGAAGAACCTACTTGTTGATAGACCCTATTATAGTTTGGGAGAGTATTTTCGCGAAACCTTCTAACAATATACTAGCAATTTATTCTTGGTACTATCACTTTATACATGTTGGTATTTCATCTATACATTTTTAAGAACCTTTTTTTATATTTACATTTATACTTATATACTCCTGATCTGACACTGAAGTTTTGTCTTGTTTTCAACAAATATGCTCAATTATTTGTCTGGTAATCCATGTCCAAGTCTGTCCTTTTTCAAAAACGAACGATGTTTTTGGTGGGTTCATCAAAGTATGTCAGTGTCCTATGATGTTTATTATTGTTTATTGAAGTGGTATAGGCCTGGTAAATGGCTTGTTTCCACAGTTTTTGATAAGCATGGAGTCGATATCTACCTTGAAACTGTTTTTGACAGCGATTTCTTTGATAAAATTCAGTTCTGAAAATCGAATATTCAATAGTCTGTGAAGCACGCTATTGAAAGCCGCTACTTTGTTGATAGTGTCAAGGAATTATGTACGTCAATATCCATGTAAGATAGTTTGCCAAAAATTGCAAAGAATTGAGTCAGTATGAAGCGTTGTAAAGTGAAACTGGAACCTAGTTAAGAAGGAAATGGGTAGAGGGAAAAAACAATTTGACATCATTCTCAACCATGGCAATGAGTTGATCACTGATAAAAAAGGGTGGCTAATACTTTCGGTGATTACTTCTCATCAGTAGTAGAAGATAACTTACAAAAACATTTAGGTAGCAATAGATCATCTATATGTACATCTTCCAACATTTTAACAAACACATTCTTCTTTGCGCCAATAACTGAAGAGGAAGTTATCGATATTATAAATGGTTTAAAAAATAAAAAAAGCACAGGCCACGACAATATCTCAGTAAGAACCATAAATGAAAATGGGGTATTGATCTCTAAGCATCTAGCTCACCTGTTCAATCAGTCATCACAAACGGCAAATTTCCATCACTCTTGAAGACGGCCATTATTATTCCCATTCACAAAAGTAAAGAAACATCAGATGTGACTAACTATCGTCCTATCGCTCTTTTAAGTATTTTCTCAAAAATCTTTGAGAAACTAGTTAACGAGAGAATGGCTAACTTTTTGTTGAATTTTAAGATTCTTACTGACTGCCAGCATGGTTTTCGTAAAGGTAAGTCCACACAGTCAGCTGCCTGTAGTTTTGCTGAAATCATCTTTAACTCCCTAGACAATGGTGTGCACGTGGCAGGAATATTTTTTGACCTCTCACGTGCATTTGACTGTCTATCTTATGACTTTATTGAAACCAAACTTTTCAATCTAGGATTTAGGGGTGTATTTTTGCAATGGCTCAAACATTTTCTTTCAGACCGTACAATGTTGGTCAAAATAAAATATACACTATCTGATCATCAACCAATCAGTTCAGGAGTTCCTCAAGGCTCTGTCCTGGGACCGCTTATCTTTCTATTATTCGTCAATGATCTACCCAAATACTTCAACATCAACAACAATAGTCTCACTCTCTTTGCTGACGATACCTCGTTAGCGGTGTCAGCACACAGCCTAGAGGAATTAAAGTCATCAACGGAAAGGTTTATAACACACTTCTTAGATTGGTGAAAGTCAAACAATCTGATTGTTAACTTGAATAAAACAAAATGTATCCATTTTAGTTCTTCCATCGGTCTTGATAAACAGCCTACTGTCTTTGGGGTGGAATTGGTATCAACGAATTTTACAAAATTTCTAGGTGTCTATTTGAATGATCGCTTAAGATGGTCTGAACACATTACAGTCACTTGTAAAAAAGTTAACCAAGCGTACTATGCTCTCTCCAGAATAAAACATTTTATACCCTTGCATGCCTTGCTGGACGTATATTATAGCTTGGTCTACAGCCATTTAAGCTACAATGTGGTTCTTTGGGGATATGCCACCAACAAAGATAGGGTTTTTATTTCCCAAAAAAAATTATCAGAAAATTATTTGATATCCCATGGAGAGAATCATGCAAACAGCACTTCATATCATATCAAATCCTGCCATTCCCTTGTATTTACATATTTAAATGCTTACTATACATCCACGATAATTTTTAACAGAATATAACACAAATTCTTCTTACCACAGTTACTCAACCAGAAATGGAAAATTGTTAAGTATTCCTAGACACAGATCCTCTATATTTGAACAGTCATCCAAATATATGGGAATAAAATTATTCAATCACCTACCTGATCACTTTAAAACCATGAGTTTGATGTCATTTAAAAGAGAAGTTAAAAATTTGCTCCTGTCTAAGGCTTATTACAGTGTCAGTGAATTCCTTTTAGACGACTTTAGCTGATTGCGGTCCAGACTTTCATCCAGATTTTATTATTTTATTATACATCCAATTTTGACTAATCTTGTTTTTTTTTCCTTAAAATTTAATAAATTTTATACTTTAAAACTACTGAGATATTTTATCTTAATGTATGTTTATTTTCTTTATACTATTTTAACGTGTTGTACTGACATGTCCTATACGTTGTTAACGTCTCAAAGGATAAATAAATATTATTATTATTAATATTGCGGTTTCATAAACTGTCCAATGAAAATGTCACAAAATGTTAAAATTTAAGCTTTCTGTTAATTCCAATAGATGGCCACCTCTCAGATAAAATTGTTATTTGTATAAAAGCAACTTTTGGCCATGGTCCGCAGGTTGTGGACATTTGATGATTTATTCAGGAGCGGAAAAGACAAAAATAGAAAAATCCACAAATTTTACTTTATCCACTTTTCAATTTAAAACTACAGACCAAATAATATAAATATGTCTCATCTATGGCAAGCTCAATTAATTGAGCATTGCAGTTCATAAATATACAAATAAATAAAATATAACCTCCAGTGACAAACGCCATCTTGTCTATACAATTGATGAAACAAATCATAAATACATTTAGATAACCTAGAATTAAACAACAAAATATTTCTATTTAGTCTCAATCAATTACAAAGTTAGAGCCTTCCAAAAGTGTCGTAACCAAAAACACTTCCTCCAACATAACGTGAAGTGGAGAAAAAGCTGATTCCAAAACTATTCTAGGAGCTCCTCGAGTGCTGGAACATAAATCCTGAACAAATAATTCCAATTACTATGGACAAACTTCGATCGTTGTCTAGAGCTCCCGGAAAATCACTATTTACTGGACTTGCTGTTTCTGTGTATGATCTCATGCAAATGCACCTGATAGAGATACTTCAGCGGAACCTTGCAGATGCTGCAAGAGAATCTCTTTGCTCCGCAGTGGCCCTGCAGGTGGTAGTAGTAGGTGGCGCTCGTCTTGCACTGCCTCTTGCAGAAGTTGCACCGTCGGTTATTCACATTGAACCTGTAGACGCTGAGACAGGCGTGACTCTTGTAAACCGTCTCGAAAGTGAACGACTTCTTGCATCCTTTGCACTTTTTCTTTCTCTTTTGGTGGGTCAGCCTGTGAACCCGAAGGCTCTCTTTGGATTTGTAGTTTTTGGGGCACAACTCGCATACGTAAGGGCGCAGTCGAGAGTGCGTGAAGGAATGTTTGCGCAGAATTGATTGCTTCTTGAATCTCTTGTCGCAGAGAGTGCACTTGAAAGGGCGCTTCTCGGAATGTATGGGCATGTGCTTGTTGACGCTCTGCTTCGTTCGGAATGCTTTATTGCACACTTTGCAGTGGTAGTTTTTCACGTTGGCATGGACATTCAGGTGGTCCGTTAAATCACGCTTTGAGGAGAATGATTTTTGGCACAAGTCGCATCTGTAAAGATATAATGTTATGTATTACATGTATGAAGTCTATACTAATCAGAATCACATCTTAATAACAAAAAGGTTTCATTTATTTAACTACATCATACGCCATTTTTTTAAACAGTATTGCTATCTCGGCAAGGCCGGTTAAATTGGACAAAAGTTTCCTATTTTGGAGAACTATGATAATCTTGTTTCAGATCGAAAATATCAGTGGTTGTTTTTGAAATTTTCGCCAGAAACTAGAATTGTCGAATTTCTTTTTTGTGGCTCTACGTCTCCACTTCGAATGTTATAAAAAAAGGCAGAGGAATTTTCAATACTTATTAATTTTTTATCTAATATATTAAAATGGATGTTTGTTGGTTGGTTGGTTGGTAAATGATAAACTTCTACATCGCTCAACTGATCGAGACGAAACATGACATGTACAAGTAATTTTTCATAGAGAAGGTTTTTAGGGTATCACTTTTTCTGTAACTCGCCACTAGATGGCACTGTAGAACAATTTTTTGAAAGCACTGTTCTATAACGCTGCTCACGCCTAAGTTCGTTGATTCTGATTCTGTCAAAACATTGGAACAGCAACGATACAGCAACATAGTACTAAATCCAATATATAAAAATGGATGTTTGTTGGTTGGTTGGTAAGTGATGAACTTCTACATCGCTCAACCGATCGTGATGATACTTGACTTGATACTTGTATAAGTAATTTTTCATAGAGAAGGTTTTTAGGTTATCGATTATTCTGTAACTTGCCACTAGATGGCGCTGTAGAACAATTTTTTTGAAAGCACTGTTCTATAACGCTTCGCACGCCTAAGTTCGTTGATTCTCATTCTGTCAAAACATTGGAAACATGCGACGTTTCGTTCATTAGATTTCATTAACTTTATTTTTTCTAATACGAACCTCAATTTTTTTTATCGACTTTTGTAGCCACTAATAATGAGGTCTTAGATTTGCAGCATCCCTAGGTAGATGTGGTTTCAGTTAGAAGACCTAGAATTCCCAGGTTATATATCTTGGACCCGGATGTCACGCAGGTAGCTATGGCTGCCTACGTGGTTGTTAGATGTAGCCTATTGTAGTTTCTGTTGTTGACTCCGTGCGTATGTGTTGTTTCCTGCTTTCGGCAAACAAGTGTTGCCCATCTTTACATTTGGCTGCATCGCGCTGATGAGGCCAATAGCCAGAAACGTGTCCGCGGTTTGCCCCCCTCTTATGGAGTGTTGTGTCCACGAAATGTTTCATTTTTGATTTGTATCATGCATACTTGATAAAATCTCTCTCTCTCTCTCTATTGATTTGAAGCTTTATATCTTCTATTAATTATCTGCGAGCGCTTTCGACAGTTGGTAGTACTGTCATCTTCTAGGCACTCCTCAAAGTTTGAGGAGTGCCTAGAGTAGTAGAGTAGGAGTAGTTCACCAAAAAGATTATCAATATGTGGTTCCCAATTTAAGATATCATCCAAAGTAACTCCTAGCTTGATAGACGAGTTTTTTGCTTTATTGAAGTTCAAATTAATTGTTGTGAACCATATTTCATCATAATGTAAATTTCTTAAAGAGAGAAATGTATTATTGGGACTGAATGAGAGACGTATTATCCTTATATAAACAAAAACCTGGAGATGAATGGAAGATATAGTCTACAATAAATTATGAATTACAAGTGACCCCAACATGGAGCCATGAGGTACATCATGAGTAACATTTCTATACTTGGACAATATATTATTAAAGTATACATTCTACTAAGCAGATTAAAAGCAAATAAATTAATCTAATCAAAACATATAACAATAATGAGGAGATTTCCTGGAAATCAAACAAAAATAATCTTTGAAAAGGGTATATTTTCAAGACAGTGAGAGAGAGTAGACCTAAGCTGAAATAAGTGGAACTTTCAAAAATTATTGGCCAAAAGTTTTCTTGAAAGTCAGATTTTAAACTAAACTTTCATAAGATGTATAATCCGTTTAAAACACTATCCATGATAGTAATTACACAATTTTCACAAACATAATAGAGAAATGTTTCCAAAATTTGTGTGATTATTATCATGGATACAATCTGTTTAGTTAAATTTACATTAGTTACACATGATATATCATGTGATTTCACTTTATTGGGGTTTATCTCAAAAATAAAAAACAATGTTTATAAACTCAATCTTAAAACATTTCACTATTACCCAAAAATGAATTACCAAATTATTCTAAAGGTGAGTTTTCTTTGGAAAACATTCAGTCATTACCATGATTTTCTGTATCAGAGAGTGTTAAGTTTTCTAAACTGAAACATGATTTTGAAACAGAATTGTTTTGATCACATATAAATTTTACTGAAATGAATGGAACAATTCTCTCACCTGAACTTTTTGTAATCTTCTTCGTGCCGTTTAGCATGCGCCTTCAGGTACCTAGGAAATTCAAACTGCTTCCCACAAATAGTGCAGATATAATCTTCTCGTTCGGTTTCCTCCAAATGACTCCTCCTGTGGTTATCTATAGATTTCTGGTCATAGAAAACTAGGCTGCAGATATCACAGGATCTCGGGTGGTGCATCTTTTGAATGTGGTCCTTCAGTTCAAAATAGAAAGTCTTATTACCGCAGTACTCGCAATTACCTGACTGCTTTAATTCAATATGCTTGTTTCTGTGCACCGTAAACTCTTCTATGTTCGCAAGTTTCTCTCCGCAACACTGACATTTCAAGGGATCTTCATCTTTGTGTATCCCCATGTGCTGTTTCAGCGCCTGCTTGCTTGTGAAACTTTCCTTACAGAAGTGGCAAAGAAAAGAACGTACAGTCTCATGCATCACTCGGATATGCCTTCGTAGGCTGGTAGCTGTAGCGAAGGCTCCTTCACAAATCTGAAAGTTAGATTAAGCTAACAAAACTGAGACTCGTATCGGATTCAGAAATGGTTTTAACGAAACCAATTCATAACTCACATTTACCATACTCTACCTTACACTTGAATTTCTTTTCTCCTGTGTGAACAACCTCGTGATCTTTTAGAGTGGAAATTTGTTTGAAAGCTTTTCCACACTCCGTACACATATAGGGTCTGTCATCACTGTGCACACGTTGATGCAACTTGGTCTCTCTAGAAGTAGGAAACGTCCGTATGCAACTGTGACACTTGAATGGTTTAGCGCACATATGTTTCCTAACATGCCCCACGAACTGGAATCTATTTTTCACAAATTCCTTGCAAATAAAACAGGTGTGATCTGGTGAATGTATCATTTTGTGAATTTTGAGCTCGTATTCATTCACAAATAAAGTTTGGCATTCCTTACAAGTTATATTTTCGACATTAACACTATCTGGCTCGAGCAGTTCTACTTTGAGTAATTTGTCACAAGGATGATGTTCATTCCAATCACTGTAATCCATATTAGGTTCATCTAAGGGTTCTTGTTTGATTAGAACTTGTTCAGTAGGATGCGATATTGTAATGGGATCCATTTTGCTGAAATAGTAGTTTGCCTTTACAGCAATGAAAATTAAATCTGCGAATTTATTATGAAACTTTTTCTACAAAACGAATTCTTATTTTATGTAATAATAATAATTATTATCTGCATATTGAATACATCAAACTTATGACCTATGACCAGTGTTGCCAACTGGATGAACTATAAAGTCGCTACACTTCCACAGCAGTTAGGTATGTTGTAACACTGCTTTATATTCCTCTACGCTTGTATTCTATGACAGCCAGTGTTATTCCTGTTCGAAAAAAAAAAAGATAAACTGACATAGCGAAGCCGTTCGCGTCGGGAGGTTGGCAACAGTCCTTGATTTATCTTGAAATGTTACCACAGACGAAATATGAAGCAGTGTCGCGGAATTTTGCTTCATATGTACCTAGCGACTTTATAGTTCATCCTGTTAGCAACCCTGCTAGTTTTAAAAACTAAGATTATTCCAAAATTGAAACGAAGGCTATATTACCTATATATAAAAGTTAGCCCTAATTTTCATAAAGATAAAGACCATATGTTTGATGACAACTCAAAAATCCTTTATATTTGTCTTAAAAAAAAATAGTTGCTTATCAAATATTTGTTACTGTTGATGGAAATGGAATGTAGATAACAGGGGTTATCAATTAGGAATTGGCCACAACTAATTTGAACTTGCAGTGCTTTATCAAAGTGAACATGTCTTATCGGGATACAAAATATTCTGAGGAACATCCCAGAAATTTAATACCAGAATTATGTAGGCAGTTCTATCACTTAGGATGGGTCACTGGAACTGGTAAGGCAACTTATATAAATATTTAAAAGCATCTGCTCTTTGATTATTTTCCGTAGGTGGTGGTATAAGCATAAAATATGATTCAAAAATTTACATTGCACCTTCAGCTGTGCAAAAAGAGAGAATACAGCCCAATGACATGTTTGTTCAAACGATAGATGGTGTTGACTTAGAACTGCCTCCTGTTGAGAAAAAACTGAAAAAAAGCCAATGTACCCCGTTATTTATGTGCGCTTACACAATGAGGAATGCAGGTGCTGTCATTCACACTCATTCAAAAGCAGCTGTTCTGGCGACTTTACTATTTCCTGGTAAAGAGTTTGTATGTACCCATTTGGAAATGATCAAAGGCATTAGGAATCAAGCAACTGGAGTAAACTTTAGGTAATTCAAAATATTTATGTAGAACATTCTTCATCGAGGTCTTTATCAATAAGTTTTCATTGACCAGTTATCTAAAGCTATCCATGACGATAATTATGCAATTTTTGCACTATACATTTCATTCGAAACGCGTTTCGCTACACAGTAGCTTCATCAGTTGCACTGACACATCAAACAATCTGCATTGTCTTTTATATAAAGACAGTAGGTAATTAGAAAACTCAATTAGATAAATGGCTTTCAAATTCTTCATCTTCATACAAAAAATGGAAGTTTTCCACATTTTTTTTATAAGGATGAAGAAGTAGAAAGTCAAAATCTTTGTTTCCTGAAAAATTAATCTCTCACAAGCACTTTTTCCAATCACCAGAAATGCAATACTCTTCTCGACGCGCGTGTTCAGGAAAACAAGTAATTGAGATATATTAATTACTAGCGACTAGCCCTGGTTCTGCACGGGTGCAATGCTGATACTAAATATACATATAAACACGTGCGATAGCTGCTAATCATAAAGTTCTATAGTGCAAAGCGTGGCCTTCAACGCAGGCTAAGGACTAACGAGGTCTCGCCTTTTAACGTATGATTTCTAACATGGACATCACATCAGAAACCTCTGAAATTATCAGTGTTTCTCTAATATATTATGCATGTTACATACATATAAGCCTTTCTCTTGAATTACTCTCTGTCTAATAAAAAGCCCATGTCAAAAAATCCGTTGCATAGTTTTAAAGATCTAAGCATACATAGGGACAGACAGCGGAAAGCGACTTTGTTTCATACTATGTATTGATTGGCATTATATGCCACGACTTGATTAGATAAATGATTAATTCTGGTGAAAAAGGTAGATTGTGAGAAAACAAAATACAATATTCCTTCTAGGAAAACAGGTAATTTATAAAAATGTTAGTTATTGACATTTCATGAAAACAAATTCAACAAAGATGTGTGAATAACTTCCTGTTTGTCATTGGAAAGGAAATTTGAATGTTAGCAATTAAGTATTTGGATATTCTGGCAGGTTTAATTTTCGTCCTTTAGTCTGCTGGAATCTCTGGAACTCAATAAATGAAAACATTTAAATTTCTCTTCAAACGACCAAGAAGTTATTCATTCACTATTGTTGAACTTTTTCTCATGCCATAGTTATAGTCTTTCAAAGAACGCACATCTAATTGACGGGACCATAACGGAATTCAGAAAGCTCTTCCTACATTTGACAAGCTGTACCATGCGAACAGATGAAGCTACCGTGTAGTGAAACACATCTCAAATAAAATTTATAGTGTGAATATTCTATAATTATTATCATAGATAGTGTTATAAATTTTCATCAAGTAACAGATCAGTGTATTCACAAATTATCTAAAACTCCGCATTTATAACTCCTCTAGAAATTTTTCCAAAATTAAACAACCGAAACTTTAAGGTACGATGAAAAATTAGTGGTTCCCATAATAGAAAACACTCCATTCGAAGAAGACTTGAAAGATATGTTGGCAGAGACTATCCAGAAATATCCACACACTTGCGCCGTTCTTGTTCGAAGACATGGGGTTAGTACAAGAGATTTGAAGGGATTCATATAAAAAAGAAAGAACCTTAATCTGAATATTTTTTGCAGGTTTATGTATGGGGAGATACGTGGCAGCATGCAAAAACTATGACGGAGTGCTACGATTATTTATTTGATGTTGTTGTGCAAATGAAACAGCTTGGGCTGGATCCCAGCCTCACACCAGACGAGTACGAGTTGAAATTTCAAAGTGGAAAATGAGAAGTTGTCAACAATATCATTTAGAATGACTGTGCAGTTTGAAGACACCAATTACATAAGTAACTAGAATATATTTCACGAGTTTTATCCTTATTTTATTGGGGTCATTGGTGAAAATTAATTATCTCAGTAGTTTGTAATATACGAGGGTCGTCTGAAAAGTTTTCGGCCTAACAAAGATACAAGACATTTTTTCAGATTTTTCTTTTTTTTTTCAACACAGTCTCCTTTTAACCCTACACACTTCTCCCAGCGATGCTCCCATCTTTGTAGAATAGTTCTCGGCGTCTTTCTCTGCAAAATAATTGTTCACAAAAATGTGATTGCCTCTTCATTTGGTGAAACAGGATTTTCTTTTTCTCCAAATAGGGCCGTTTTTCCGCAAGTTCTGTTCTCAGCTTGTCAACTAATGATACATAGTTTGCTCATAAATAGAATCCAACTCATCTTTGATTTGCATAAACGTATTGCCTTTTAAAAACAAGTCAATACTTAATTTTGTCCATTTCCATAAAAACACTCGCATCAACTCATTCAAACGGCTGTTACATAAAAATTGCGTGTCCGAAATGGCTGAAACTTTGGTGAGTAACTGTCAACAGGTGAACAACGGAGTCCTCTAGCTTTTATTTACGAATGCTGCTGTCTGAGGTCATAAACTTTTCAGACCACCCTCGTACATACTTCTTTGTGTCAAATGAAACATAAATGTGACTTACAATTAGTATATCAAATATATTCAAATTCTTTGTTATATCACGATGTATATACATATCAATCAACAGAAGTTTGTAAATTAAAGTACAGCCACAACAACTATACTAATAAATAACAATATGATTATCACCCAGTATATACAAGTTTTATCTTTTCTATCAACTACCTCGATGTGCCGAGTTTCAGTATTCAATCTATCATCTGTCCTACTCAGTTGTGTTCCTAGATCGTCCAGAATATCTGAAAAACCATACAAAAAGTATTTGGAGGGTGAACGGACTTAGAAAATTTAGGGGCATTAACTCACCATTCTGGAAATCGACCTCATCAGAAATTGTGTTGGCAATATCCTTTTGCCTGGATATGATTCTTGATAAGCCCTCCAAGCTCCTATCTTGTTCTGAAAACAGGATAATTCAAGAATCACCATATTAAATGGTAGTGTATTTTATTAGACAAATCAGGTACCTCCGAGCATCTTCTTTTGGTTCGTTCGTAAGTCATCCACAGAAGTACTTGGAAGAGGGACTCTTTCCATGCTAGACTCCCCTACAAGTGATCTTCTATCTTCATTCAGTTTATTCACTACCTGTTCATCAAATATCTTTTGCATTTGAAGTCCTTTCGACTGAAGAACTTCTACCTGTCTAGTTCTCCTTTCACATTCTGCAGGTGTTCTGTGAAGTTCGCAGTTAAGGAATATTTGGAGTGAACAAGATGCAAAATAACTCATATCTTTGTACAGAGTTTCCATAGAAAACAGGACCTTATTTATTTTGCAAAAGGATACATACTACCCAATTTGCTTGTACTTTCTAGTTTCTGATTGAGTTGGCCAACTTCATTGTTAAATTGTTTTAACCGTAACCTAATATTAGCAGATAATTGATTGTACTTTTCGCTGGTTCTTGGATGTTTTTGTCTCAAGCTCAGCTGTTCCATTACATCTCTATGCAATTTCTCACAAGACTCATATTCCAGTAACCTAGGGAAAACAACGTTCAATACCTTGAGTAACTAGTACTTCTTAAACATTAGTTACCATGGGTCTTCTTCTAAAAATAAAAGAGACATTTCGACTTCAAAAAACAAACTTTTCAATAGTTAAAATAGCATTTAAAGACTTTTTAAGAAATGAACATTATCATATATAAACAACAATGGTAGAGGTTGGGAGATATCTTAAAAACTCAATGATACCAACATAAGTTTTTTCGTGAAGGTTATGTTGACTAAACTGCTTCTATTAGATCTTAACAATATATAGACATCATAGTGGATGCTCAGATGTAACATTATCTGTGAAATATTTTGATTTCAGTTCAAAAGTTTAACAGAAAAGCAAATGTAGTTGATCACCGTCATATAAATATTTCCTTTTGTTCGAAGGTGGTTGACAGTGTTTCACGGTTGAATGAAAACCAATACGATTGAAAATTAAAAACAAACAGCTGAAAATAACAATTATATCAAGAAAAAAACCATGAAATACAAGCAAAAAATTAAAAATTGAACTATTAAACAAAAAAAAAGAAATAAAAATTGAAAAATTTCAAGCCAAGTTACTTCACGACGCGACGTTTCGATTGTAAGTGATACCATCGTACTGGTATTGATTCTTCCAGGGATTTCAGATCATTTTATATCATATCCCAAATATATCACATACAAGGCGTTCCAACGAAAACTCGACCCCCCTCTGAGTCATAAACGGACGTGTAATCGAAAATTTCGAAGGACACGTCAATTTTTATTTCAAGGGGACAAATTCTGATATGGACATTATACCCGAAACTTCACCCCCCTGCGGTCAGCGACTACCCCCCTATTTTTTCACTGGCACGGGGGTAGGGTGATACATTATTCGAAAGGTCTTTTGACCCTCTATTACCTCTTTAATTTTTTTCGAAATTGGTTCATTCGTTCTTTGGAATTTTCGATTACACGTCCGTTTCTGACTTACACGGGGGGGGGGAAGTTTTCATTGGAACGCCCTGTATATCATATACCAACTATTTAAATTTCTTTTTTCACAGATGTGGGATACTTCTGAGAAGTCTACAGCAGAATTCCAAATGAATCATTATAACAATGCTGACATCTATTTAAAGTCCATACTTTTTGAGTAATTAGAGTTTCCTTTCTAGAAAAAGACAATACTTGACATTTAGCAATGGTAAGATTCAAACGATTATTTAAACACCAATCAAATAACAAAT